GTAAAACTCCTGATTGTATAACCCAATACCAATTATGTGTCATTTTTCATATTCAAAGGAATACACTGAGAGATGAAAACACCCACGAAATCACATAACTAAAGAAAATAAACTTCGGAGTTAGAAGTTTATGCATGGTCAAAAAAAATGTGTTAGAATAAATACTCCTAAATCCTCCCAAAAAAATTTATCTCCTTTTGTGTAATGTTCCTTATTTAATCCCCAGAGTGACACCTGCTGGATTTCACTAACTGAAACTAAAGGGCAGATATTCCCATTACACACAACGTTTCAGGATAATAATTGCAAAAATGTGCCATTTTAGTAATAAAAGGTTGCACGGTATAACATTTTTCCTCCATTTGGGGCAGGAAATAAATACATAGATGCGACCACACAGGAAGGAAGTATAATGTCTAAAGCTCTTACTGGTATATTTTTGTATTTATATGTAGTAAGAACCATGGAGCACAACATTTGGTGGCAAATTATATTCAATTCTGTTAATATAATATGAAAAAAATATTTTCAAAGCCTAAAAAAACCCGAGTTCTGGTATAACAAATGTGTTCCCAGTACATCTTTGGATTTTGTTTGTTTGTTTGTTTGTTTGCTTTAATCTAATGAAACTCTAACAGAATTATCAGTATTAAAATAATATAAAACTTATTAATATTCATTTGCAAGATTTCACCACTGAAATGGTGGAGGAAAAAAGCGAGGGGAAAATCTAAACGGTCATTCAAGGAGGGACTTTACACCCATAAAAGCATCAAGGTAGCAGAGTTTTCAAGCTGGGAATTACCAAGGAATATGTGGAAAAGATTAGGTAGGTTTTAGGCACTGAAAAGATATTCAGCCCAAACACAGCTGGTATATCATATCATAGTATATGAGTAGGTGCTTTGGACATAGTAATAGTAATAATAATTAAAAAATCACTAATTGCTATGTTTGGCCCCTCGTCCATGGTATTACTGGTAACTTCATTAAACAAAACCATCACTCATTTTTGGGGGGATGTTTTTTAAATAAAGGCTGTGTGAGCCACGCATAAATCCAGAAATACGACATTGTTTGATCTTCTGAAATCCAACTGGTATCTTAATGGTCAGCTACAGCTTAATAATGGCCAAAATGGTCAGAAAATTCTCGAGTGACATCAATGCTACATGAAAAGGCAACAGCTTCAAGAGACACATGCAAATTTACCCAAGTTAAGAATCTGTTTTCTTGTGTTGAAGGGAGAACGTTGCTTCTCCCATGGAAAGTCTTTTTTGATGCACTACAGTCAGTTAATCGTACTTCAAATGCATCTGTCCAAAGGAAAGCCACTCGAAATAAATCACTTTTGGACGGCGTATCCTGTAGAAACGATTGAAAGTGTTTGCACAGAACTAGGGCAGAACAAGGATGACTTTGCTGGGAAAATATAAACAGTATAAACAAACTTGGGAGACTGAAGCACGAGGACTGCGAAAACAAAACTTTCAAAATGTGAAAGTTTAGCCTCTCGGTTCTGCCCAGATTCTAATACAGCACAAAAAGGATTGCTAAGAAGAAATGCTCTAACGGAACTAAATTTCATAAGACCTTTTATTGTACCACACTGGCTGTGGAATTCTCCATCAACATAACAGGTAAGAAACAGGCTATTTTCTGATGCTCTTTGTGCAAGCAGATTTACACTGAAAACATCTGAATTGCCAACGTGAGTACAAAAAACCAAAAATAATGTGTTGTGTGCACCTACAGAAAGCTTTCTCCATATTCTTTTCAATATTAAAAGGAAACAACACTCAAACGTATTCAGTTCAAAATACTAACACTTGCTATTCATGGCTTTCTAAACAACACATGAGGTTTAGGATTAATTTACTTTCAAAGTCTCTTTAGAAACGCACATGTTCTCTCTTTAATTGCTACGTTAGCAATAATAGAAGCCAGCATGATATAGACCTGCATACGTTGCATACAGAAATAATATATATATTATTATATGTACAATACACAAAACCACATGTATAAACACGCTTATTTTACTGCCTCAAAGTTATTTGTTCGTCAGCTCCCATCAGTTTTGATAACAGAAGCATTCATTCCTTCCTTGACACAGTAATATCAAGGATATAGTCAATTCCAGAGCTCTGACAAATTGCTGCACAATTCCCAGCGACAGAACAGTTACAGGAGAGACTAAGAGACTGTTTTCAGTAAGTGTAAACCTCAGCTGAGTAAAGTGCAACACATGGAACTCAATGACAGAGCTCCCAGAACAGAGGTAAATGCCAATATTGTGTGTGGGCTCCACAGGAGTGACAGCTGATCAGGAGCACAGAAGGAATTTTGGGAGCAAATCAAGAACACCGTAAACACACTGGCAACAGATGGGAACAACTTCTTCAGAAGAAATTCTGTTTTGTTTTCCTAACCGTAGACTTGGACTTCTTATTGGAGAAATTCCTCCAATTGCTTTAATAAATAGCTTATGTTCAGCATTTAGCCCAGAAGTGACCAGATATACGCTTTTTAAGTATCACTGTATACACATGATTATTAAAAAAATATCAATAGCGATAGTTTCTTCCCAGTGACTGTGGCCCAGTTTGAATCCTTTATCTGCATGACTTTGTGGACTCTTTTGGGCCCAATTCTACCCAGCTCCAGGCTGTGCTGGGAATGCTGTTGGAAGCAGCTGATTACCCTGAATGTGCTGAATCGAGAACCAAGTTAATCATTCTGCTGGTGGCAAAGGCAATGTATCACTGTGCTTTCTTCCCTTGCTTTTGTTATGAATTGTGTCCTAGTCTAAAATCTGAACTGCAATACCCAGACAGCCCACAGAGCATAGCCTGCACTCCCAGAGGGTCCCTTCCCTGAGCCAGGTATGACATTAGTTATCCAGAATGAGACACGTACATCTGGGTTTTTCAACTGGAGCGTTCAAAAATTATGGGAGTTACCAAGAAACCAGTTGCCTACAGACTGCAGAATGCAAGTGCTCGGATGGGTGACCCAGGTATAACTTCAACAGAAAAATACCCACTTTTAGGAACTTCTTGCCCTTTGACAGTCGGTGGAAAAATTCCCGCTGGCTCTCAGTGGACCAGGGTTTCAACAGTTGTGTTGTATCACAAAAAGCCTACTCAAAAGGATGAATACTACTTTTCTTAACACAGAGAAAGACTTCAACTGATCAGAAATTCAGGGTACAGCAACATTTGAAGGACATACATCATGCCATTCTTGAACTTGCAATGAATGTTATATATTCAGGTACTTAGTTTCATCAAGTAAGAAGTGCAGTGACGCTGTTCTACACCACTGTCCTGCTGCTGCCTTTGCTTAATCTGCAAATAACACAGATTCTGACCTCAAACCTGCCCGACACTTCCTATGTGTGCACCTCAACCTACACCAGTTACTCGAGGAAAAAAAAACCAAAAATAAGAATCTAAGTCATTGAGCTGAAATATTTCTGAAGACAGTTTTCCCCCACTGCACTGATCATTAAAACAACGTGAACACCTTTTATCTGAGGTGCCCCCTTCTTTGACTCAGTGTCACCAGGCACCTTTTGTGCGGAAGATTTTCAAAGTTGGGTGAAGACTTTGGGATTGCTCCTATATGCAGTGAAGTCAACGAGAGTTTGAGCAGACTGCAGAAGCAAATACTGTGTGAAAATACAGGTTGTTATTTTTACTTGAGAATTTCAGACATCATTGCAGCACATGTGCTTTGAAAGGAAACGCACGGATTCAAACCTGATCTTGCTCCTACTTATCTAGACATGGAGCATCTCCTTTCAACCCACTGAAAGGACCTCGGATTCAGAGCACATCACTGATCTGAACAGGTTTAAGCTGTTATATGCATTAGTACTGCAAATGAATGACAAGATTCCCAGTAGGCACAGGAGGACTGGAAAGACTCCGCATTGGCGCAATTGTAAGAGCAGCAAAGTCCATCCCCAAGGTATCTGGCATAAGTTGGTTAGTTATTTTTATTAGTATTTCATTCTTGACCCCTATAAACTGCACGGATAAGCAAATGATTCATTGTAGATCAAACCCAAGTGTGATTTATAGCCTAAAGAGATTTATTTTCCTGATTCTACAGATCCATTGCTTACACACAGGAGTAAATGATTAGAATTAACAATTTCAGTACTGCAACCGCATCTGTAAAACCAGAGGATATCTCACCTCTTTTGGAAAGCTGAAGAACTGACAAGACTTTTAATTGCCTTGTAGCTGATACTCGGAGGCACAGAATCACACACTTCCCACTGTTCAATAGTTTCTCAGGGAAAGGAAGTAGCTGACAATTACCTGCCAATAAATCAGCTTGGTGTTTGCGGTTAAAAACCTCAAACAGTAACACCCCGGCACGCGACAGGCTTCAAACTCGACCTAACTTTTCCTCAAGCAAACAGAAAGTCCAAACAAAACAGAAGCTTTACTTTTTTTAGCTGTGTAATTACCCCACAAAACCTAATTATGAAACAACTCAAGTATGACCTCTTTCTGGTACAATAAGATTAAAGAAATATTCAGGAAGAAAATCCACACCACTTCATCACCTAAATCAGCCTCTCTTGAAAGAGCTGCAGTTGTACTGAGTTAGTCCTAAGGACCCTTTTCAAGCCAATGAGCCTCTAATTCTCTCCAGATGCAAAGACAGAAATTCGGTTAGTTAATATTAGAGGTTTGAGATAGAATCCTCAAAGTGCTGATTAGGGCATTTTATCTCCCTTTCTACCTGCTTATTCTATCAAGGAGAGATATAACAACACCAGTTATAAAATCAAGCTCAACGTTTGGCTCACTAAAAATAAACGGAGGTTTTCCTCACACCCCTTTCTCCCTGCAGATTCCATACCGCACGCCTCGGTTCAATGCAAAAGCGCTGCACACACGCGTAACTCTCAACGCGTTCAGATGGCACAGAACTGTCGCTCCCGGCTAAAACAATGAAACTGTTTTTCCATCGCTACTCACCGCGCCGAGTTTTCACCAGAACGCTTTCAGACAAAAGCAGCGATGCACCTCGTCCCCTCCCTCCGCGGCCAAACGAGAGCTGCTGCGAGAGCCCGGTGCTGCCGCCGGGTATAATCCAGTGCCCGGGCTGCGGGAGCGGCGGCTCGGGGGGCAGCGCTGCCGCGGGAGCGCCGGGAGCGCGTCCGATGGAGCGCGGAGCGGCGGCGGCAGCAGCGAAACATCAGAGCTTCCTGTTACATCACCCGACCCCGCCTGCGGCCGGCGTTGAGTTACTTTTCCCTCTCGAATGGCATGTCCCGGGGAAAGCCAGGCTCCTCTGGCATCCGTGCCCGAGCCCTGCCATCTGCTCCCCGGCAGCGCCGCGCCGGCTCTGCCCGCACCTCGCCCCGGGGCGGCTGCGGCTCGCCCGCCCCCGAATTAAAGCTGCTGCTCTGAAACCACTCGCAAAACGCTCGCTCGCTGCTCTGCTGGAAAGGAGGAGACCACGGGACCTGTCCTTTCACGTATCGAGCCAGTGAGATTCGTCCTCCTCCTCCAGCTAGACCCAGAGAAATAAATTCGTTTGGATCTTTATTGAGAGACAGGGAATACACAAGAGCTGCTTCCTCCTCGGTGTGACTGACGTGATCCACCTCTGCCAGCAACTGCAGGGACTACATTACATCCCATACTACATTACATCCCATACTACATTACATCCCATACTCCACAGAGAAATATTTCTATTCCTCAAATGTTAAACTGCGGCAAAGGTCAGAACCAAAGTTTTCAAATTCAAACGAGTGCATAATTTAAAGTGATACTTCTGTTTTGTACCCAAGGAAAAAGTATTTAAATAAATAAGACTTTGAATATCTAGGGTACAAAAAAAGGCAACAGGAACATTAATATTGCTGCACAAGTCTCTAGGCTACATATTTTTAAATGCTGGTGATTTGAAAGCACAAGTATGAACTGCCTGGTTTGAAAACTGCCATAAAACAAAATTAATGGCAATCTTTCTACTAGCTGCAAAGAGATTCGTATTGGGACCTAAAAATGTTTCTTTGAGAGCATTTATCACTTGTTCTTTGTACAGTCAATACCTATAGATGGAATCTGTGCCCTCCAAATCAATGGGCAGTTGCTGGGTAGACATGACAATACCATGCTGAACAAATGGGGAGTTCCTGGAGCATTAAGCTGGAACACCAGTACCCTTATGGAACACCATAAGGACCTCCCAAAGGTCACAGTGTCATAAGGACCTATCAAAATGATACCCTTTGCTCGTAAAACAAGACAAAGTATTCTGCTCACTTCTCTCTACCTGTCACTTGTCCACTCTTTTTGCCAGCAGAATCATTTGTGGAACATGCTGTGAACTGGAGGAGGGAATTCATCTGGCCATTGAAAAATCTTTTCCTCAAAAAGGACAAGAGCAAGAAACCCAAAACTAAGAGGGAAAACCTCCCACAAACCAACCAAACATACAACATACAAACAAAAACCAAGCAAAACCACCCCTAATCCAGGGTCAGGAAAAATCGGAAGAAGGAAAAGAGGGGTAGGGAGACTTTCAATCCATACAGCCACTGAATTGTGAAATCACACTCCAGGGTTACCAAAGGAGCAGGCATATGAAGACTTGAGTATTCATTTGGCACACATGAGTGTTGGTGCTTCTAGGATCTGACATCAGGAGAATGTCTGAGTTTTATAATCAGTGAAGAACTAAGAACTGGCACTCTAAACCTCTAGGCAATGTAAACAGATACAAGATGGGGATTAGCTCTGATTCTGAACAGTGATGGAAATTAATTTCTCTAAAATAAACGGTGTCACCTCAGGTAGTGGAATTTCATCACAAGTGAGCCTGGGAGTATTACTTAGGCCAGTCAGGTCTAGGTTATGGAATACAACATGGCACATTACACACTGTAGCTTGGAAAATAATCCATGTATTCCAGCCAGGCACACATGCTCAAGACAGGCATCTGAATTAGCTGGAGAGGTGGATTACACGGGCCGCGTTTGATTTGGCACGTCAAATGTTATCTTGTTTGTTTGTCTCTTTGTTTGAATTATTAGTTACAAAGTCTCACATTCTACGTATTTAGCTCTCATTGAAACTTACTTGCTGCTGCTGTACAGGCACCTGAGACACCTCACTGGTGCAGTTTGCGCTTCAGAGATGTGCTGGCTCCCGGAATTTCTCCATCTCCCCCTCCTCTGGCTACAAGTTGCCTAAATTACACCCGTACTGGCTGCCGAGGGACAGCGCGGGAGCGAGCAGCTCAAAGGGGGCCTAAATGTGCCAAACAACCCGCGCTCGAGCCGGAGAAGGCTTAAGTCCACGCGAAGAAAGCAAATCTCCCTCTTTCAGCACGGAGGGACTGACCCGTCCCGGCGCTCGCCGCGCCGCGCGCCCCCTCTCGCGGCATCCCGGGGGATAAACAGAGCCACGGGAACCCCTCCAGGATTTAGTGTTGGATAAAGAACCCCTCGTGGATAAAGTATTATCACCGCGGGTGAACAACCAGAAACTGTAAACGCGTATTCCACTTCACCCGAACCTGTTTTTTCAACTCGAGAGATACTGCTGAGAACAACCAGCTATGAGACATAACCCTCATGTCAACTTCTGTTGGATTCCAAAATCTGGCTATGAGAAAAAGAAAACCTGCTAAGTTTAAACAAAGCCTTGGGCTGACAGAGACTGGGGAAAAACCTCCATCTAGAGTCCAGACAAGGATCCATCGATGTCATGGAATGTCCTGCCCAAGCCTGGAGAAACCATGCCCTGATCTCATGAAACCTGTGCAGAAAACCCTTTGTGTTTTCTCTCTCTCTTTGTGTTACCTGGTCCCCCCTGTAAAATCCCCCAAGTTAAAGTGGGTTTTCTCTATGAGGTAATTCCTAAGACCCAACAGTTTGTAATTTAGGATTTCCCCTTACCTCATCTTTGTGCCCCCCCCAATTTTAATACCATGAATATGTAAAACCCCCTGTTAAATATGTAAACCCTGAACCCTTCAAATGTGGAGTTGTGAACCCAATAAAGGATTCCAGTTCCTTGCCTCCAAATTGGGATCATGATAGTTTTATTGACTCGCTACAAACTTCAACATGTTTGACAGGTGGGACCTAGAAAGAAGAAGACTCAAAATGTAAATGAAAATCTATCTGCTTTGCTATTGTAAGTGGATTGGAAGTGCAGAGAGAGATGCTGTTTCAAATGAACTGGAAATGAAAAAGAAGCAAGGGGCAGAAAATAAAAAGGAGAAAAAGGAAGGCGTACCAGTGAAAATGTAAGGAAAAAAATAATGAATAAAAAGACATTAAATTATTTCTCAAAGATATTTTGCTTCATCATCTGCACGGATTAAGGGCACACAGCAAGTTATTGCAGGTCAGATGACACGTGGGAACTCACCAAACCTCTGTAAAATTGCTTCAGCTTGTTGGCTCCTTATGATGGAGCTGGGGAGAAATCTCACAGCACCCTGCATAATTCCTCCAGAGCAACTGGGGCAGACTCTGGAATGAAATGACTGGATGAATGGACTCCAGTTAATTGGAACTGTACAGTCACTGTAACACCTTAACATAGCTTCATGTTTGATCTCTTCAGTATTCTCTGATCTGATTCCCTACTTTTCCCCACGTCACGCCTCAGTTATCCCCCCTGCTACATCCATCCTTTAATTATCTTTGGGAAATACACAAATCTCTTTCTTTACTCTTGCATTTGGTTGTTCTGCAGATACCTGGGATAGAGGAACGAAAGGAAGTGAATGAAGGGCACAGAAGGAACTTGTGACGTTGGTGAGGATCATATCACACTGCAGGTTGGACTTTTTATAGGGAAAAACTAATTCAATGCACTGTAGAGCTAAACCAAAACAAGGCAGGAAGGCAGCTGGGTAACTGCAGGGCAGCCAAGCAGAGTACACGCCCCAAGAGCAGCGTGCACTCTCAGATCAGTTTTTACACTGCCTACAACATTCCAGTTTTCATTCTCATTGCACTAACGAGCCTGACAGACAAATCACTTCGTAATGTTTTCTTAGTCAATTGAAACAGAGGTGCTTTTGGGATGCTAGAACTCTAAATTCTATTCTGCCTCAACGATGACATAAGAGATCCCTCACTGGATCACTTATTTAATTTAGGACAGGGTAAGTAGTGGGTGGGAAAGGATGGGGGAGCACCTGTTAGTCCTGTCCTAGCTACAGCAGTCCTGGGAGAAACCTGCACAGTCTTGGGAGCAACTGAGGACTCTCAGTGAGAAGACCCTGTTAGTTTGCAGTAGAGTTCAGCAAGCAGGAGGCTTATGAGAATGGGGAGCAGCCACAGAGCCAGGTTTCTTCTGGGACACAAAGGATGACTTTTCCCAGGCTTCCAGGGTACATTTTGTAGATGCTGAATTCAGGAAGTCAGGGACAAGCCACTGGACAAAGAGGGAGCCTGAAGAAGAGATATTGCCATGAAATGACCCCCACAAGAGACAATCTGCATACAAATTAATCTATTCATTGCTATCTTTTACATCTATTGTCTCATTCAGAATGTTCTGTTTTAGAAACTCCATCGTTATAGTTTATAATCTAATAAATCTTACAAAGCTTACAGATTTTTTTTGTAGTGTTCTTGGTGGGACTGCTTAAAGAAATACCATGGACAAACCCCTTCCCCTTCCTCCCAGCCACTGCAAGGCTGGGATCAGAGTCCCACCACAGCTGAAAACCCCACCAGGTTTAGAGCTGGAGTCACGGCTGGGCAGAGGACACTGCCCCAGAAACAGCTCTGTCCCCAGCACCTTTATTTAGGCTTGATGCTGAGGAAAAATGCACCTTAAGGAAACACTGCCACCATCAATGCAGATCCCTATAAACACTGGAGCTCTCTGAATGTTCCACTCCTGCTACTAAAGAAGGAGTTTAATTCTCTTTTACATGAAAGCTGTAGAAGATGTTTTAGTTTAACACACTTACTTCAGCTCTGTCTCCACTTTAAGGTATATCATGTGATCTGGCAATTATGGAAATTTTAATACTGAGGGCCCATGAGAAATTATTATTATGACTAAGAATGGAAGATTAGATGTTTTTACTCACTTCACCATAACATTTACACAAGGAGAGCTGCAGAATTCTGTGCCCAGAATTCTGGATAAAATTTCAGTGTATTAATATCTCACTTCTACTTACCCTCTCACTCTGATATTTAAATGAATAATTGCTTACATTTTCAGCAGTAAAGCTTAGCCATGAGTCTAGTTCAGTAACAAGGACAAAAGTCAGTGATCCCAGCACATATATTTTTAAATTATTGCAAATATTTGCCACATTGCTTCACACATTTACAGCTTTAACTGTAATCCTTTTATGGGTATTGGTGTGTTAATTCTGATCTCATATTCATTTTAAAATACTGTAATTATATGCACTTCAATGGAGTTAAATCTAGCCTGCATAACCTAAAATAAATGTGATTAAAACAAACCCAGTGTATATTTCCTCTTTATAGCACAGACTCATCTTTTAATGATGGATTGAAACAATCATGTTTGACAAGTGATGATTCTTTGACAGGCATTATGCTTTCTTTAGCACAAAAATAGAATTAAAAAAGAATAATGGGGTAATAAAGTGAATTTGAATCTTGTCTACATTTTAACCATTATGAGTTATATACTCACACAGTCTGTTGACCTGTTGCAGCTCTGACAATTATATACAACCAAACTACAATTTAAAAGCCTTTATCAAAGTAAAAGGTAACATTTATTAACATGAATGAGGAATACATAATAAAAATTTAAGCAGCTTAATAATATATAATCAAAATAATCAGGACAGTAAATATATTTTAGTGATGTAGACTGAAGGCTTTCATTCACAGGTGAAGAGCAGTTTACTTCACGTTTCCATAAAAATCAAAGTTGTATTCTTTCAGGGATGATTTCCTCTCCCAGAGCCTTTTACTGACTCTTTCTTTCTTTTCTTCTTGATTTTTATTAACTTTCTTCCACCTCGTTTCTTATTGAATCCTAAAGGCAAAATGAAGTAAGATTAGAAGACATCAGAAGATTATCAGAAATAAGAGAAAACTCGTTTCAATAAATCTCCTTTAAAAAAAAAAAAAGAACATTGTCTTACCTAAAGCCTCCATATTTCTGACCAATGCCAAGTTGTCTTATTTCCGTTCTTTGTACACTGTACTTTACTGTCCATCTTTCTCTCTCTAGCTCTGCCTCTCCTGATTTCCTTTTTCACTTTCCTAAGACTTTCAACTCCTACATTTTATCAGGCCCGTACTTACTACTGAAAGCAGCAAGACTGTGTCAATGTGCATAATATTTACCTCTTGTGATAGTCTGGGGCAGTATCACTTCCCATACCTTTCTTGCAGATCCTCAAACACGACTTTCTGGAGGTGAAATTGTTCTCATTCCCACCACAGCCGCTGTAGCTGAACGGGTGGCATCTTCCACTCGAGTGGTTGTAGAAAAATCTCAACTCTTTGGCTCTGCAAAGTCCTCTGTCCATAGGGGTCATGCAGAAAGAAGGGATAGGAGGTGGTTCTAGAAATACCAAGAAAAACAAGGTTAGAGACTGCAGTGTATCAGTTTTCTGTTACGTCAATATTATTCGAAATTTATGCAGAATTTACCGGCAAATTTAATTCTTCCCTCCTGAAAATCCAGGACACTTTACAAATAAGCACCTTTGTATTAATGATTACAAAAAATAGCACAGTAAATGTTATCCTGCCTTTGAATTTCCAGCAAAAGCTTACCTGAGAGTTACAGCTTTGCCTATACAGTAAGTGAAAAAATTGCCTTTTCTCTTACAGGAGATAGCACTCAAACACAGTTAGAGGAGGTTCAGTATTTGCAGCAAGTGAAGTGAATTAAAAGAAACCTGGACAGCTTTAAGAATATGGTGAACATTTCTGATAATTAATGGAGGGAATTACTGCTAGACATTCTGAAACCAAAAAGAAGGTAAAAGTACCCAGCATCTCCAATGTAAGATTCAGAACCTTAACACTGGGGCTGTTGAATGACCACAGAAAGCTTGACCTAAGTAACAGAAGTTGGTCTGTGAGAAAACACTGAGCACCTACAAAAAAACAGCTTGTAATTCACAGAATAAAAAAGGATTGAATGTGAAGAATAAGTGCACAAATCAGGGAGCTGCTGGTGTGTTAGTGCTGCATTAGGGTTTTACCATTCCAGGGAGCAGGCTGGTGTTTGTTTCTCCACGGTCGCTGCAAGGGAGAGTTTGAGAACTGAAACTCTGGGAGGTGAACCTGAGGTATCCAGAGTGCCTGGGCACTGGAACAAACTCAAGAAGCAAGTCCATAAACTTGAAAGAACTCCGTCATCTGTTGCCCTGGAGTGACTCACATACAAAATTAGAACTGGTACAAGTGATGTACAGGAAGCAAGAAGCTGAGTGGGAGCCACTGTGCCATCAGTGCAGGATCCAAAGGAGTGAGGAGAGTGAGGAGTGCCACTTCCCTTCAGGAAGCAGCAGAATTGAGGGAGCTGAGATCCGAGTGCATAAAAGGAAACGTGAAGCCTCTTGCAGATACAAAGCCAGGTAGAAGTGGTTCAGTGGAAAAACAAAGTAAAATTCTTAGGGAATAATTTGGGTTTCAGCAGAGCTGAAGAAAATCCGTGGCCAAAAAAGCTGGTGAGTTGCTGAAAGCAAGAAGTTATGGATTAACCTGGACAATTCAAGAGGCTGACAAGAAAATATCCAGAAATTACATGATACATCTTATGTGTTTTATGTGTACTACACCTGCTAAAGAAAGTTCATTTGACAAGTATAATAACAGCTGAACTGTCCTGGTGAAAAAGTGTGAACAATTGCTGGGAAATAAATAGAACGGTGATTTATGGAAAGCTAAGGCAGTAAAATGAAATTAGTAACATATTTGAAGGTGTTTTAGCAGCATCATACTATCCAAAAAAGAATTCTGAAATTCCAAAATGGGGTGAGTTGGTTTTTCAAGATAGACTAAGTTAGTTTCAAGTTATAAAATGATCACTACTTAATTTCTTTTTATAACTGTGACATTACCGAAAGATTAAGTTTCACTCTGCATCCAGAGCAGAAGTCCCCAACATGGTACAATGTATATTAAATCTACTGTTTTATTTACAGTGAGGATGGTAGTTAAGTTCACTGAGGCAGTGCTTTTGGTACTGCTCTATCTGAGAACTCCTGGGCGGGGGATAATTTAATTTCCCTCTAGCTAAAGAGGATGTTAGTTTTCAAAGCAAGTGTTCAGCGACATTAAAAACAAGCTTACCTATTTTAACCTGATAATTTCTGAACCTAAAAAGAACAAGAAGGCTTGCCAGTGAGGAAAGGGCCAAACAGCACAGGTTTGCTAATTATAGAAGAGAATTTAAATATACACTTCGTAATGTAAATTACTTATCTGTTGAGTGGAATTCTCCAGTGAGTCCACAGTCCCCTCATGAAGGAGCTCTCACAGTGACTGCAAGCTTTGGGGGAACCATGGGCTGCCTATGTATGAACAATGCAACGGGCAGAGAGGTGTCCAAATGCTATTCAGGATCCCTTTTGTACCCCTCCAAAAATTACAGAGATCTTTGTCTAGATGATTGTTAGTTAAATGCCCCAGAGACAAAACACTGTTCCTGTTTATCTTCAGCATATCTGCCTATTCTTCACTCTCACAGAAGCAACCACAGAAGCAACCCAGGAAGAAAACCTCTTAATTTTGCCACATGGAGCCATTTTTTTTTCTATGAAACAATCTATGAAAACAAAAATTAAATTACTCATCGTGATTTCCTGCCTGCTGAAGATCATAAAAATTCTGAATTGCTTTTAACATACCAGCCACTAAAAGACCTGTTAACTTCAAGTTCCTGCAAACATAAAATATGGACTGTGTCATGCCAAGCTCAGCATCTCCACTGGCAGGACAATTTGTAAGCCTGTGAGCCAGGATGTAAGCACAGTCACTGGAGCATGAGATGCAGCTAAGTTTTCTCTGTTCAGCTCCAGCTTCCAACACTGTGCATTAGAGGTAACAGTAAGTTTAGATATTATGCCTGTTGTTGAGTTTCTGTCTGAAATATTTTGATCTTACAAGCTCGTTTTTCTGAGAGCTGTTGAAAAGTTCTCTCTCCTGCTCTTTCTGTGAAGAAAAAAAAAAAAAGAAAGAAGCAAAAATCCCACAACCCACAAAACTACACAAAAAGGAAAGGGTACAGACTGAAAAGAGTAAAAAAAAAAAAATAAGGTGTCCTGCTGTCATAATTGTTTTCCCCAATCTAATCATTACGGGTTTATGAATTACAGATACCAACTTTATTGAGAGACTACTTGACATAGAAATGCTGTTTTTAACTCTGTTTTTTTCTCAATTTAAAGTACATTTCAGCAGGTTGGGGTTTTTTTCCACAGTGTAAGTGGCATTACTCATTCCATTACATAACTCATTACATGTTAACATCAAGTGGATCATACAAACCCAGAAATTATTAAATCTCATTAAATGCTTTCTAACTTTTTTATACATACAGCTACATGGTCCGTCCTCTGGTCTTTGATGCAATTTCTGTTTATTCAAAATGTCTGATTTAAACCTGTTTTAAATCTCCAATATCAAGCCCACAAACTTGGGTTTGCAATGAATATTATTGGCCAAAATCACGTGACATTGGTCAGGCCATGCACAGACACAGGAAAAAACAATTTCATATAATTCAAGTTCATATAAGCAAATGGCAAATGAAATCTTCCAAGCTGGGTTAGTCAAATACTTTCAGCTGTAAGGTTTTCTTCTGGAAAATTACAACACAGTTAAATGCAAAGTGTTTCTCAGGAACATAACAATTCCATCAAAAACTTCTGAAGGAAATGAGACCTTGGAACCCATCTCACATGGAGTTTTGGAACTGGAGCTCTGAAGGAGCTTCTCAGTCGGGTTTCAGGCTTTATAACAGCAAAATACAGTGTAGATTTTTCTATTATCTTTTTTTTTTGTTACTCCTTTTTCTTGATGTTTTGACTGATTTTTGCTTTGGTGAGAGAATAAAACCCTAAACTGCAATATCTGATTTTTTTTTTTTTCTGAAAAAATAGGCCAACTAATTATATACAATCAGCAGTAGATAAAGAAGTTCTTACCTGTAAAAAGACTCTTGTGCCTAACCCTTCACTGCTACCTAAACAATCTGTGTGTGTGGTTTAAGATTCAACTCTTATAATACAGTCTTTTTTTGGATCCCAGACATCCCCCTCTCGGTGTGAATGGATGACAATGAACTGCTAATTAATCTCGCCACAAAAGAAATCTGAAATTATCTTGGTGAGCAGGGTGAGAGAGAACACAATGAGCACTATTTCCCACTGAACACAGGTACGTCACTTCCATAAAGCTTCAGATTTATTGCCAGGTTTTTTTGATACGTGCAGGCTTCTGTTTCTCGTTTCTGCTCACAGCAGAGCGAAAATAAAAGAACCTTCAAGGAGCCAAGCTCAAAATCACGAGTCATCTGCACTTGAGAGCGCTCTGCAGGTGTAAATTGGGGCAGATCCACCGCAGCAAACAGAGCTCTGCCAATTCACATCAGCAAAAGGTGTGACCCTGACTCGGAGAAGCACCAGCAGGACCCACATCTCTGTGCTATTCCCCATTTACTGAGTGGAAAATTGACTTTTGATCCTCTAACCCACTCAATACTCACAAATCAAACGTAGGTAAAGCACTTTCAATTTTCTACCACAGATCACTTTATATAATCTAAAAATGAAGCTTTGATTCTTAGCTTCAGTTTTTCTTAACTTCTCCAGAAAAAAAAAAAATTATTTTGGATATTGCAGCAGAGTAAGACCAGAACAATCTTCACCCTCTGAAGAAAGTTCACTGCTGGAAGTCCTAGAAATTTCATGTGTTTATGTATTGTTTGTTTAGTTTGGCCACAGAACAGTTTAATTTTCTGAAGATCAAGGACTATGTTGGAAGTCTAATAATCTTATGTTGTTACAGAGTTATACATACCACTAATAATATGGGGTTTTTTTTCTGAAATCAAGATGGAATAGCATGTCAGTTTTGAGGTAAGGTATTCTATGAGAGAACTCCTTGCAAAAATGTTTTATTTTTTTCTAATAGTCTTAGTTTAATTTTTATGAATTAATCAAATGAACTTAATTTAATTTAATTGACTTAATATAAATTAATGAAAGTAAATGTAATTTTTTAATGTTCTTGTTAAAAAACCCCTAAATATAGATAGCCAGGCCAACATACACGCAAAATAGACATTACAGTGGCAGATCAGCTACACTGACTCTACTGGTGCTTGTTCCTCAATCCCCTGTTCCATCAATCTTCAAGTCCTCTCTTTCTCTTACCCTCACCCCTCACCTCTCAAAATCTGCTGTGCAGGAAAATTCTCTATTTCTGACAAAGTCAACCCCCCTTCCATCTCCTCTGGGAAAATATAGTTAATCATGCTCCTTTCCTGGTGTAGGTTAGTTCTTCTGAGGATTTGAGGATTCATATTATGACTAAAAACCTTCAAGGAATGTGTATGCCCTAATGTCCCTGGACTTATTACCAGACCTCAAGTAATTCACGTATTTTTCAGTAAAATAAGTTGCCAAAAGCTTTACTGTTTTATATTCATTTGAATAACAGCGGGCATTGATGCTTTTTATGTGGTAAACAAACAATATTGCCATAACAGAAAAGAAATTTATATCAACCAAACAGTACATGTGGATCACAGTGCAGGCAAAAAATAAGAGCACAACACACATTCATGCTTTATTAGACACACCATTCCAAGCAAAGAGCACAGGGATGTTATCCTACATGCCCATTATCTTACAGAACATACAAAATGCAAAAACCTCAATGAGCCTCTAAGCCACCACTCAGTCCTCAAAAGTACAAGTGAGTGTAAATGCAAAAAACCAACATAAATACTTGGTAAGACCGCTCAGGCTCTTTCCAACTGTTTGCTGTTTCCTCTTGCACGACTGTGGATCACAAAAATGACATGCCTCAAAATTCAAACACCCTTTACAGCGTGAGCAAGCACCAGTCATCTACAGTGGACAGTGTCCAGCTGCAGAAACTCTTAAAGCCTCTCCCTCCCCAGGAAAGGTCCAGAGTCTCATCTGCATTATCATACATAGTGCAAAAATACCTTGAAGCCACACAAAACTAATTCACTCTCAAACCAAAACTGAGTTTAATTCGGCCGCAGCGAAAATAAAAATATTATGGTACTATATATATTATACTATTCCATATGCTAAAACCCAAATATGGTTCTTTTTTAATGGATAAGAGGAGCTTTAAATCACTCGCCCAATAGATCATCATGAAAATATCAATTTTGACCGAAAGAATTCTGCATCACAGCTTTTGCTCTTTTTTTGTATTAATCAGACCTTCTGGAAGTGCTCACTTTTCAAGGAGAACAAGGTGTGGTCAGTGTTCCACTTCCTACATTTATGGAAGATCTGTAAATAGCAATGTGTTCCTTTGCTTTGGCTGTCTCTGCTTACCAGATCCTTTGACATGGATGAAAGCCCATTCTTTAGTCTTGGATATATCAGAAAACAGGTGGAAATGGAAAAGCAATCCATGCAAAAAAACTTACCAAAAAAAATGGGAAACTGGTTGTGCTCCTCCTTCGGGGAACTACTGTTCAGAGTGTTGGACTGCTCGTTTGGAGCAGTTGGCAACAAATTTACTGAAAGAAAAAGAAAAGTAGGGGCGAGTGTGAGGTGTGAAGCAGTGATGGGTTAATTAGACACAACCAAGCCCTGAAAATCAGCTGTGATTGGTACCCTTTGGCCTTACTCAATGCCAGCACTGATGCAACTTAAAGAGAACATTTCTTTAAGTCCCAAAGCCATAGGAAGCTGAGGTTGTTGAGGCAACTTTGGGATGGGTTAATTTTTCTTCTTTAAGTTTACTGATGTAAGATTTAAATCAAAAATGGTTTGGTAAGGTTATTTTTATGTTGCCAGCAGACATTCTAACCTTTGAATTTGTAAGCTTTTCTCAAAATATTGTGTTACTGACTAGAAAGTGGTTATGGAGCAAGTTTTAGTGTTAATGACTTCACTGTGCTCATGTATTTCAGCTGACACACATGTCTTCAAACAAATGGGAAAAGGAGTGGACAAACCAAAGAGCATCCGCATTAAAGAGTCAATTGCAAACAGCAAAAGTAAATTGTTACCAAAAATCCCAGGGAGCTCTTCAGGTTTTTCTGCTGGGGAACTACTGTTCACAGTGTTAGGATGCTCTTCAACTGTAACAATTGGCAATAAGTTTGCTAAATGAAAAAAGAAAGGAAAACAATTAGGGGAAAAAAAGAACCCAAATTGGTATTAATGATTCAATATCTCAAAGATAAAAACTTTCATCTATTTAGACCATGGCAATGGCCCTTAATCCTCTGTTTCTTCTTAGATATTCATACAAATTTACAAGGAGGTGTTATTTCAGACTAAAGGCAGGGGAAAAAAAAAATTATTCTGCAGCTTTTAGTCCAAAAGGTAAAAGCGGAATCAGAGCCCAGGAAGAAATGTTTCAGCAAAGGTAGGGAAAGAGTCCACGGCTCTAGAGGTATAGTTCTTTAAAAAGTATTTAAAAAAAAAGCTTAGTGTGTCTCTCCTAGTCCAAGTGTGAATAAGCTCGAGTTCCCCTTGCCAAACTGACAGATTATGAAACAGTCCTGGAAAAGGGTCCACTAGAGGCAAGAGAGATAAAAGGGTCTGGAGGCTCTCGATGGGAAAATGTATTCACCCTAGGAATAAAGTGAAGTATTCTGTAAGGGGAGAGGAGTTCTGAAGGTTTCTGTATCCTGGTGTGGAACAATTCCTTGGAACTGGTAGGACAAGGAAGTGGCTGAAGGATCTGTGGTCAGTCTGAATGGCTGTTTTGTAGCCTAAGCTGCTCAGCCAGACTGTTCAGAAGTGAGGGACAGGCCTCCCACGATTCCTTGGTGGGAAATTAGGAACTTACAGTAAGTTTCTAAGACTAGAAATTCCTTTATGGACACCTCTTTCCATTGCAAGACTTGGTTTGAAAAGAATAAATGCGGATGCGTGGGTTAAAAAATAAATATTAGTGCTTTACGGCATTAAACTGGCAGATTTTAGGTCCAGCTGTCATGAGAAAAGTAAAAAAGGGGGATCCTGTAATATTAAATAGTGCCTACCAAATATTTGAGTCCAAATATTCTTAATTTTGGTATTTTTATTCTAAAATATCTATAATTACTGTCAATTTTATTGCCACCTCGTGGCACCCTAAGTTGCCTTTTTGCCATGCCTTCAAAACACAGCACAGTTTATGCAAGAGTACAGCTGAGAATTGTGAAGGCAACAACTTACAGTTTTCTTGGCAGGTAGTCCGGCAGTCTTCCAAATTCTTGAAGTTGTTCTGGTTTCCCAGGCACCCCCCATACTTGAACACTTCACATGACTTTGTCTCTCTGTTGTAGAAATACCTGGTAAAGTAACCTCGGCACACTCCGGGGTCTTTGTCGTGGAAGCAGAACTCGGGTTTTTCTGCAAACAACGGGAAATGATGAACAAAGTGGGAGAGTCAAAAGATTAACACACATTCCAAGGCAACAGGAGAACTGGAGGAAGTTTATGAAATAAATCTGTAACTTTGGACTAAAGGCCAACTATAAAATAACTGCTACTTTATTGTGCTGCTTTTGTTCTGTATGTAACACCATAACATTACGTGGAGCATTATAGGGATTATTGCATTGCTTTTTTTCCTCTTTTCAAGTAGCCAGTAAATTATATCTTGGAAAATGACAACTAATGATTCCTTCAAAGTTTCCTCCGACGTTGAAGCTTTAACCTGAAAATCAGGTTTTATTCTGATTTAAAAGACCCGAAGCTCAGCTGGATGATTTGCATCTAAGCACACATTCGTGTAATTTATATAGTTGTTTTAGTAAATGTAACTGTGAATTATAAAGAAAGCAATGTTAAAATAGAAGAAAAAATAATAATTAATAATAATAATAATTAAAAAAATGACAAAAAAGAAAAAAAAACTAGCAGAGCATTTTTTCTGTAGTAGTTGACTGTTATAAAAGGATACAGAGACAGAGCAGTTATTCTATAATTTTGCAGTCCCAGTTCTGAGTTTGCAATCAGTAACTACAATATCAACCAAGAAAAAGTTAACAAATGAACAAAGTGTAACTTGACTGAGTATCACAGCATGATATCACGTGTTTTGGCAGGGGAGAAAAGCACACAGCCACACAATAAAAGTCAGCTTCGCACCATATTCCATTTTTTCTTAAAATTATATTCTAAAAATAAAATCATGGAAGCTATAATAAAGCATCTGCGAAGGCATTCTCAAATTCTTGCTAGTAGATACTTTGAAATATGATTCCTGTCTGAGCTGACTTGCGGAGAAAAGTCCATTTAGCCATCATATAAGACAATCATATCAGATGTGACATATAAGAGCCTTCCTTACCCGTAAAAATTCACAAAATATTGAGATTAAACAGGGAGCAGTGGGCTGCCACTTTAGTAAAAATTACTACAGAACAATTACTTTGAAGCTCCTAACATTTTTGCAGTAGATTATCGAGTTACAAAGAAGTTAATCCTATTACATCTACATTAGCTAAATATATATTCAAATTCATTGCTAGAACAAGATTATTATTAAAAGCAATTAATGCACATCATATATTTATATAAAATATTATTACAGCTCATAACTAGTGCTTTTCCAAGAATTAATTGGCAATATCTTGTATTCCAACTGTTATAAAACTTCATGAACAGCAAGAAATAGTTTTCAGAGATCACATGTAAAATTAAACCATTAAAATGTTCTTGGATAAAGTAACAAAATCAATTGCTTTAAGCACTCCTGACCAGTTTAATTTTGATTGCTCACTATAAATTTCGTTCTCTGCAGGAGACAGTTACACAGACAGGCAAGACTCTCCCAGAGCTGCACCTCTTCTATATTAGGAGACAACAGGAGCTAAAATTCTTTCATCAAATATTGCACAGCATTGTGAAATAACAGAAAGATTCTTAGACAGATATTAACTGGAAAAGGAAGGCAGATAATAATAGGGGTATGCAGACTACAGGATTATGACTGATTCTTAAAAACAGATGTTCTTCATTTAAGAACATCCTTATATTAAAATGGTTCTTGCAGAAAAGGGAAATTAAGTCCAAATTAGGGGAGCTCACATCTAACTTTTACAGCCACTTTTGAAGAGAGAATTCATGAAGGCAATATAATCCTAACCACACAAAGCAGTGTCATACTTCTAAATGCCATGTCTTTCTCCAGGGACTCAATATGCAAGACTGCATTACTGGAAACAATAGTAAACATGCACTAATGTTGATGGTAGCCATGAGCTGAATTTAACAGGATATGTTCTGGTTTGTCATTAAAAACAGGGAACTAGGGTCAGCCCTTAAAGGGAGCAGTGCCAAAGTTTGCAGCATCTGTGGAAAATAAACTTTAGTAACTTCCATAGCATAGAACCATAATTTTATTTTAATTTTTTTTTAATGATTAGGAATGGAAAGGACAGGAGAAAACAGGAAGAGAAAACCATCATCTCAGTATGAAAACCTTCCAAATAACGTTCTGCAAAGAGAAGGGATTTGCTTATGTTCTGTTTCAAAATGTATGTGCAAATCCTGGCATTTCTACAAGTTGCTAAATGCACACCCATTCAAGCAGTCACAAGTGGAAGGAGGGATGAAGGAGGGTAAGCAGCAAAACAGCAAACTGTCCCTTCAGGAGTGGGAAACTTGCTCCCCTGTTGGACGTATAATTAGGGGATCTGCCCTAACCTCTGGTAGCTCCTCCACAGATAAAGCTTAAAAAGTTCTGTTTCAGAGTGATTTTTTCCCCTATTTTTGCTAACAGTGGAGCAAGCTTTTAGCTTGTTCTCAAAACACACTGAAGATTCAGAATAAGAACTCACTTTCATCTGACATTGCTGTTTTTGTTAGGAGATAGCCTGGAACAATACACAAATAATTTAAGAAAAGAGGCTAATAAATACCTTGTTGTTGTATAAGAGTCTTAGATCACTATGTAAATGCAATTACCTTTCTTAATTCGTGCTGCCACCTTCTTCCCAGACAATTCTGCAATATAAATTAAAAAAAAAAAAGGTATTTAGGAAAGGCAGACATGTTAAGTCTCACCTGTGATGCCATTGAGTTTGGCAGTGACAATGAGCACTGAGGAGGAAGAATACAACAGCTCTTCCCTTTCTTTTTCCCCTTTATTAGAGAAGTAGCACGAAAGCTTGTTCTGGAGGGCTGAAGTATCATTTGCTTTGTATGAGAAGTCCTGCTAGATTGGAAACCTGAGGGTATGGAATGTACTGAAATCAAACTATTCCGATATTGAATCGAACCAGGGAATTACTGTTCTTGGATCCAGAGGCCCTCATTATGTAGTCTTACTTCTCTAAAGAGGAGTAATTAGCAGACTCACAACCCAACTGCTGTAGATCCCGATGCTGCTCGTGGCTTTGCACAGGACCTGTGAGACATTAAGACTTCTCTCCTGCCGTCCAAGTCCCTTTGCTGTGCTATGGAGTGCCTGAGTAAAGTTTTCATGATGCTGTTTGGGATATTAAGGCCCATTCAGCCAAGTATCTCCAACTGTCTTTAGGGTTGTATGGGTGACAAGTTGTTTGCACTGTTCTCTCAGGGCACAATCAGCAGTGCAGAAGTTGCTGTTGTCATTTTTAATGCAGGACCCTGGGTTTTATCTTATTAGCTCAACGAACTGGATAGCTGAATGCAACCCCAAATTCCTTTTCAGTGATGGAAAACAAACCTTCTTCCCCTTCTAGGAGACTCTCTAACCATTAAATTACAAAGGAGTCCATGGGAAGATTGTCTCAACCAATGCCTACGAAAGGCTGACAAGAGAATAGTGACCAAGGAGAGCTGATGCATTTTCTATTATGGAGATACTTTGCAAGGCAAATAAAATAGCAGCTCCTGGACTTCTCCTCTTAATTGCATTGCTTCAGAATTCTAGTTTTGTATTGTACTGCCCTCATGTGCTATAATTCTACCATGGTTTTCTCTGGAAATGTGCTGGTGTTGCATTTTCAAAGCAAATCTGTGAGGTACAGATTCTGTCGTGATACATTTTTCCTTCCACCTTTGGGACAATGCAGCTGGAATCCTTTAAAAAAATATTATTTAAAGGCATGACACGCATTTTAGAGTGATATAACATTTCTCTGAGCATACTTCCAGCTTTTCCTGTTAGTAGGAGTCTTTGCCTTCAGCGTTTAAAGGTTTAAACCCATGACCTAAACTACAGACACACACCAGGTCATCTCACTAATCTCACTCAGCTGTCCCCTTCAGGGCAAAACCAGCAATCATATTTTGGCACATGATCTCTACTCTTCTGGCAGAGAACAGGAGAAATTTATTGTGAGTTTATACAGGCCTAGAATCTTTTAATCTCACTACCATGTCAACAGTGTCTTTCTGCTTCTGGTCTCAGTTAAAATGCCAAATCCACGTCTGAGTTAATGTCTTCTTTGTAAACAAACTGCATTTCTGAGTAGATTTTCTCTACAAATAATGGACATTAGAATTGTTGTCATGACCAGAACCATTTATCAGTAATTATTTTCCAAAGTTAGAAGGTTAAGTAGCCTAAAATGTATATTCACTGCCTTGAAAATTAGGACCTTTGTGCTAGTGATGACACCTGTGATTCTACTTATATCCAGTAAACTGGATATAAGTATCCAGTAAATGAAGCATATAGGAAAATGCCTCTTAAAATTAGGTTTTTTGTTCCCTGAAGGGGTGAGTATTGGGCACAAGAAACAAAAAATACAGCTGATTTCCAGGAAACTTGAGTCAGAAGTAGGCTTCTTGAATCTGAACACTGTCTTTGAGAGTGGCCAACCTGCAGCTGGGCTCTCTGAACTCTGTTGTACTGATCTCAATCAATTCTGTCTTTGGTGGTTTATTCATTCCAAAAATGTTTAAAAGTTATCCTGATCTGGTAATTCACTCATGTTGGCTCATTTATTCTTGTAGTTGTGCTGAATATTGAAAATCAAACACTTTGATTATTTACATTATTTCACCTGAATTTGTATATATATACACATATATATATTACATAGCTTCCCTTTAGCTTATTTTTATCTTGATCTTCACATCCTTCACAGTGATAATTTAGTATCTCAGATTTTTCTTTATTTCAAACACTTAGGAATCACTCATACTATTTTTTCTATACTGATTTCTTCAGTTACTAAATAGCGATCTTCCTACAATAATAAATATGTAAGCATAAGTCAGATGAATATAACTATACACTACAAGACTGGACAGACAGAGCTAGCTTTAACAAAAAGAATTTACATAATTATATTGGTGTTTACTGAATCATGTGGTTAGCATACTTAATTATGTTAGTAAAAGTGCTTTACACCTGATGGCTGACAGCATACTGCAAGCTCTTTTATCAGCTGTTATTCATTCAAAGAATACAGAAATTATGAGCCTTTATTGCTCCAGTTCCTCCAAGCAGATGTAACTCTTGTAGAGTCTTGGATCCCTGTTATTCATACACAGAAAACTAAACTTGGGCTGAGTACCAAGATGTAGACACTAAGCCAGTTCTCATTCTAAATAACTCTCAGTTTTATACTACAGTTATGCAAAATATATGCCAGCACAGGATTGGGTCCAGAAGATCTGCCTCAGATCTTGATCCAACAAATATGTCAGAATCAAAACAAGACTATTATTCAAAATAGCAACATCAGATTGAAGAAATAATTCGATAAATCTTCACTCGTGGCACCTGATCTTGACTTTTGGGCACTTCATCCCTAATTCTGCATCTATCAACCCTGCATTTTCCCCCTCATCCCTCTGTTTTAGCCTTTAAATTGAAATTTTGGACAAACACTCCAAACTACCAGCAAGTCACCTGTTTGGGATGAGACACTGGAAGCCCTGCAAACAACCCTGCTCCAAGCATGGCAGAGATGCTGTGGGTCCAGCTGAAACCCAGAACTAAATACCAGATATAAATTACCAAAAACCACCCCCATGTCAGAAAAAGAAGAGTTATTTCACATCCTGGATTCCAGGTCCTTCTGACATTGAACAGTCATCAAAGAAAAACAACTTTTAATTTTTTAACTCGAGAGATTGTATTCATTAAACTTTGTGGAGTCATAACCAGAAACACATTAATCACAATTTTCTAAACAAAACACTGTAGGAGTGAAAAAGTGCCTTTTAAGTTTTGGGGGGTTTTGTTTGGTTTGTTTTTTTTTTTAGAATGATAATGCCAACACTAATTTTTAAGCTTGGATGTTTATATTAACTGTGGAGTTCAGCTACCAGTTTCATTAATTTCTGGGCTGAAAATTTAATGAATATGGAAAAGAACTTTTAAGCTGGTTGTCCAAAAGGGGAAAAAAAGTGTCTGTTAAATGCATGACACAAATTTACAACTGATGGAAACCGTATGACAAAGGAAAAGCTTGTCAGTCCAGAAAGTCCTTTTATAGATAAACAGAAAATTACTATGCAAAGAATTAATGCCAAAGTTTGAATAATTTGTAACCATTTAAAATTATATTAATCTGACTTGAATGCTTCAGACAGGACTTTTGATGGGACAATTTGTAGCAATGTAAGAATAAAACAGCAGGAGTAGAAAAGGAGCAAACCAGTATTTTTGTGTTTGTTTTCTTTACTGGTTAAGCATAGCCCTGATCTTCCATTCCTCTGTAATGAATTTCTTCTTTGATTTTCTGCCCAGAACTATCATCTGCTCTCATGTAATAGTCTGTTATGACAATTTTAAAACATATTAAAGGAATTCTGTCTTACTTTAATATCTTTTTTGTTTTTTCTTTTACACTCAGGTGTGAAGAATCCGAGACACCAGTAGTGTAGTCTGGAGAACCAACTGCACTGTGAACAACTTTTATCTTAACTAATTTTTAAAAAAACAAATACAGGTAAGTGAGCACCAGAATAATCTGCACTTCCAGTAGTATCTGAGACTTCAACATAAAAAGTAAATGATTCAGTGGTGTAAAGATCTTTCCCTTCTCAACCAGTTCAGGAAGAGTTGGCTTCAGATCCATTTCAGATTCAAGTAGGACAGAGTTTTGTTGGCTTTTTTTGTGTGTGTTTGCATTTAGGGCAAGATGTTTATGTTCAGGAAGATGCTTTTCTCCATGTCATCTTTTTAAATTTACTTTTCTTTTTACTTGAAATGCTAGATTATATTACTTAGGAACTAAGGAATTGTGTGCTTCATATAATTCTTCCCTGACAGCATGTTATTTTAAGAGACACCTTATTTTAATATCATTAGCACTGCGTTTACCCATGTAGGACACTGAAAACAAAGCAAAACTGTGACTGATTATTGCCACTTCTTCCCCGGAGCACACCTGGTCTCTGGGGCTCCTTAGGAGATCTTGCCAGAAGCCATCAAAAGATAAGTCTCAAAATTAATCCTTAGAGTAAAATGCACTGAAGAACTGCCGTTCACTTAAAAAAGTGGAGCCATCTGATCTTTTCCACTTTGACAAGATGGGATTGGAATTTTGTGGTGTAGAGGCAGGTTTATATGCATGTATTTGTTTAAAAGCAAACCATAATTCGACAGAAATGCGTGGTGGCACCAGCAGATCATAAAATAGGGGTGAATGGTGAACAATGCCTTGACTTAGTATTTGGTGAGTAAATGAAATACATCCTCACTAGAAAGGTCAAAGGGAGCTAGGCCAGGGTTGCTTCCCAAAAGGATGGGTTTTCCTGTTAGCTGTTCTTCCAATACCTTCTAATCTTTGTGCTCATGTACAACATTTCAGCCTGAATTTTGCTGTTCTTCACAAATACAGTCCCTCTGAAGCCTTGTTGCCCTCAGCCACGCTATTCTGGACCAATCTGGGTAGGTAAGAAAGCAACCATGCTTTACTCTATAAATGGCAAACACTGTTGGAAAATGGCAATTCCTGGTAATTTTTATTAGGAAATACAGGTGTATTTGAAGCACATAATGTAACAGATTTAAGGCCTGATCTAAATACTGTGTAGATGTGAATTCTGGAAAGGATAAAAAATAGGTAAAAGACATTTATGACAGTCAAAGCACAATGCTATAAATTAACTTGTTGTATATACAGCCCGTTTTGGTTAGGAAGCCTGAATAGGAGCTTCTGAAATCGATTTTCTAATCTGAAATTTCTTGCAAGTACTTTTTGGTAAGCTCTATGAACTTACTGTGCTAATCCTAGAAGACACAAATTTACATCCTGCAAATCAATTCGGTGCCTACAGCACCTCAGCAGATTTCCAGTTTTACTGGAAGGCCCAGGGCTACAATAAATTATGAAAACAGGGCAAACAAAATAACATCTACCAGGATCTGCATAGCAGGAGGGTGCTACCAGGGCATATCACTGATAGGCACCAGAGAGTGCCTACTTAATTACAAGGTTCATTTTAAATTCCAAAACCAGCATTCACAAGGCCCTTTGTGAATATTGCTCTGTGTCATATGTTAAATTTCATTTTCCTCTTTCTAATGATTAATTGATGAGATTTCAATAAAACTGAGCTGACAAATGGCTGCAACTGACATTTTTAATGAGAATTATCTACTACTGTAGTTTTAATTATGTTGAAACATAGATGATGTCCAAGATTTTGGACAGCTTCTATCAGCTTCTCAAGTGAAGGAGGAACCTGGGAGCAAAAATTGCATTAGATACTCCGAAAGCAACAAAGAACATCTGTGCTTCCCACCAGCTTAGCCCAGCCTCAAAATTAGTTTCACATGGATTCTAGCTAGAAACTAAGCTTTCTTGTATCGGTGTCTCTATTCCAGAGGTACACTAAATCAAGTCTCACTTAAATTTCCAAATCCTGAATGTTTGCTTGCAGAATGTAAAATAATTCACATGACTCCAACCTGCTTGGGAACATAATTAGAAGAACCACATTTCTGTACTAGTGGGAACTGAAGAGAGCCTCTTCTTCCAAACTTCACGTAGTTTGTGAACAAGAACTAACAGATGCAAAAGAACCGATAGGAGGATAAGAGAATGGGTACTGGCCTGCTACCACACACTTCTTCTGACATTCTTCCAGCGTCAGGAAGTTGTTCTCGTTGCCGTGGCACCCACCGTACTCAAACACTTCACACTGACGGGTTTGAATATTGAAGAAGTAGCGCACATGGATGGCTTTGCACGGGCCATCATCTGCTTTCATGGCACACACCGAGTGCCCAAGTATCAGTGGGGGCAAAGCAGCGCCTGTAATACAGGAGAGAAGCAGAATAACTGTTAGTGAGTTCGTTTGCCTTGTTTGCTTACATAGTGTAACTTCAATATGACACTGCTGGTGTTTTCTGCCCGAGAGGCACCGCACCACATCTGTCTGCAACGCTCTGGACACACTGAACAGATGTAAAAACAAAAAACATCATCCGGGCTGCAACACAAATTCCATTCGATCGAACCAAACGTGTGGTTTCAATTTTCAACCCAAACAGCTCATATTATAAGCTTGAACTCCTCATCACAAACCTCTAAATAGCTGCGGACGGCGGCTTAGTCACAAGAGCTAGCGGGCAACTCCGAACGACAAACACAGAGAAAAACCTGGTAGCTCTGAAAACACAGTGACGACCACGGCAGAAAGGATTCCTTGTGCTCTCTCCCGTGCACTTCTAACAGCGAACATCGCTCACGAAGACACAGCGTGAGTGGAACAGAGCCCTGCAGAGGGCATCGCTCCCCTGCCGGATGGTGCTGGACCGGGACACAAACCCAGCCCGCACCACTGGAAGGTCATCACACCGTATTTTTCCTTTGACCTCGCTGTTCTTGCATCACAGCTTTCAAGAGCTAAGCAGACAAGTAGAGCGTTAAGGGGAAACAGAACTCTGTGTTACCAAATCGTGTAATTTCTGTGTCTTTCAAATGCCTTGTTAGGTGAGGGAATGTTTTGTAATATTTGTCATATGTATCGTGAAAAACACCAGCCAGATTTTACACTGCCAATGTCTATAAGGAAATTCTGATTAACAACTGAGTTGCTGGTGCTTCTCCCTTACAAATATATGGTTTAATATTTTTTTTTCTGTTTTGCTTTTCTGATGAACTGTTTTGCCCTGGAGGATTTTGAAAGCTCCACAGAGCTGGTGTCATTGCCATAGCAGCCAGAAGAACAGACCTGAATTTTTTCATTCATTCTCCCACAGCTAATTAGAATATTGATATCTCATAACACATGTGTCAACACACCTAACAGTGGCCCAGGAAACAGGAGACAAAACAAAGGGTGAGGACAAGAGTTTCCATGATTATTGCACAGCCCCCTACTATTACTAGATTAAGTTTCCAGTTTTAATTAAAAGAATCCATAAAAATCAGGCTTTATGACTTGGTAAAAAGAAAACCCACAGAACTAAAACATTGTTTTGCTACTTCCTAAGGCCTTCCCTCTGCAGTCACAGGGACACTGTTAACCACTGTCAGATGTACTGACATCTGCTGCGAGTGTAATGACCAGCTGTGTCACACTTTTTGGCAACTGGACATTTATTTTCTTAAGAATGCTAGAAAGTTGCCATAGTTTGACTAAAATCTGTACCCTGTGAAACCCCCAGGGGCCAAACCCTCCAACTTTAAGCAGTAACCAAGTGACTGAAGAAAGAAGTCTCCGAGGGGTTTGTCGGAACTGAATCATTCCCGTGTCTGGGAACAGCGAAGGAATTCTTCCCCATTATTTTACACCTGGGAACACTTAACTCACACAGATGACAGAAAAAGAGCTTTTCTTCTCATAATAGAGCAGTAGATGAGAAGGCAAGCAGGAGGGTTTGACCAGTAGACCTGCATAGGCACAAATCTGCCTGTACTCATTTTACATGTGGAATATAGCTCAAGAAAACTAATTCTTAGTATAAGGCCCCATCCTCTGCTCTTGAACACTGGAACAAATTGTTACTACTACATTTTAGGTCTTGTGTGAAGAGCACAGGATGTGACATTTAGAGAAGATGTCTGTCAGGAAGGCCAGTGAATATTCTTCAGCAGAAACGTAGGAAGTGTGAACTTAAAGGAACGTTAACAGTTTCTTATCCAAGTGAAGTAAAATTCCCAGCAACCTGAAGCTGTCAGTTCCAAGATTTCATTACCCTTCTTGCAAGACAGGCCCTCTTTGTAATGTACCACCTAAATATTCTTATATATTAAATAACATTTTGCTTCCTTTATGCATAGACAGAATAATTTGAAACCATATATATATACACATAGAAAATCAATTTGATTTTCTAATCTTGCAATTCAAGGCTGCTGCAGGAGTGAAGGTGGCCTCCTGCACTCTCAACCTTTAATTTGGGCCCTCCAGGTTTGGCTCCTGCCCAGGCTGCTTGAAGCCTTCATGGTGCAGCAGCTTCCTTGCACTCACTGCACCACTTCAGCAGCCCACCTCTGGTCTACTTTCTGTCTTTTGGAAGACTTTTGCCTCCTCTTAATTATCTCCATACTAAATAAACTCATTTCTTCCAAACTTTTTATTGGCCTTGCTTTGTAATCCTTTTATAATTCTTATTTGGATCTTTCCTATTAGTTGGATTACTGTTTAAGTGTGCTGCCCAGAGCTGATCATAACCTAAGGCATTACCAGTGGCAAATAGAGTGGAATAATTACTCTTGGATTTTGTCGTTTTTTTGGTTTTTTTTTCTTAATAAAAGACAAAATCACTTGCCTCTTTTTTTTTTTTTTTAAACAACGTTGCATTACTTTTGCAATGCTCTGCAACTTCCATTTGCTCTCCAGCAAATATAACCTTGTTATGCAGGTGCTTCCACAGTTATTTTCCACCCTATATTTATGAATGTATTGATTTTCCTTCGTGAGTATAGCACTTTGTATTTGTCATTTAAAAAAAAAAATTAAGTTTAGCTTTCCACACTCACACTGGATATGACCCTGTTGGATATTTATTACTCATCCAATTCAGGCATCTGGTTCAAATAAATTTAGGAAAGCTATGTAATTACAGGAGTGTACTACCCTAGACCAAGAATTTTGGTAGAAATACATTAAATAATTGTTACAGCTGATGCTCACTGTCACACTAAAGTTATTGCTTACTATGCTAAAATTAAACTAAAGCAAAGCAAAACCTCCTCTCCCCTTTCTTTCTCCCCATCCCCCTCGATTTATTTATTAGGAAGCAGAAGTGGTGAATTAATGCCTCTAATCCTCTGACATTGATACAAGTGAAAACAATACCTCACCCCCTGGCTGTAGGCACAACAAAAGACTTTAATTTGACTTTTGGTCTCATAAGGATAATCTGCGGGGCTGCTTGTTAAAAAGACCCCCTTTTAATTAAAAAATGAACTGATTCCCATCCTAAAACCTGCAGCACAATAAATGTGATGGACAAGAGTGTTATGGTGGAGTTGCTTCTCAGGACAGAACTATATAAATCGAGAAAACGAAGGTCAGGAATATTTCTGACTTTATTTTATGGAAAACACTCTGTGTTTCAGTTTGCTTAGGTTGTGTGTTCTCAACCTTACAAGAGTTTCCGTGGCTATCCTTAATTATAAACTGCTGTCATCTTCCCAGCCTTTTCTTGGGAATGTCTCCCTTTGATAAGTGGTATCAATACTGAGCACCTTGCCACTGATGAGGAGCTGCTGCTTTTCTCTCCATCTTTGTCAATTTGACAGCTTCCCACCCACACACTGTTCCCTGTTTCCTACACTTTTAAGCAGGCACGTTTATTCTTGGCAAACTTTCCCATAGGAATAAAAAGCACATTCAGTTTGTGAGTCGTTTTCTGCCGACCACATAAGCTATTAATAAACAGTACACATAAACTAGTTCTCTTTATACCATTCATTTTTTGTTATTACCCTTATTTGTTGGTGGAAAAATCCCTGGTTTTGCTGGAAGAGAATGAGTTAATAATACTTTTTTTATCTCATTGGACATCACTTGCAATCTTAATTATTACTGTAATTTAAACAGACAAAAACCCCCCCACCTCTTAAATTCACAAAGCACTTTCACTCAGTGTGGTCCAAAAGCACCAAATGACAAATAACAGATGAACATAACTTATTCTACCCTTTAATACCTGAAATTTAGGAAATGCTAGGGTAAAATATGTCATTGCTTTGTAACCATCTAACTTCAAAACTAAATGTTATCAATGAAATTGCACCCTGCAAGATTTATACATTTAAATTCACCGAGTCCAGAATTTAAATCTTGAGAAACCACAAATATCACTTTAATTAGCGACAACCTAAACATTTTATGGAAACAGACTACTGTGAAAATATTTTGTAAACACTGCAACTGAGTCTTCAGCAGTGACAGTATCCTAGTTTAATTTCTAATAATTACATTTGATTATTTTTTACTTTTGAATTAGAGCCCAAAAGTTCAACTGTTTGTCATATTAAATCAGTTACTGGTCACATAATCTTAAAGGATTGGTTGCGAAATAATCAGTGAAAAAAATAATGCCCAGCACAATGACTATTTCATTTCCTTGGGATTATTTTCTTATTGTCTTTTATGAACGAAGTAAATAGAGGACAAAAATCTAAGGCAGCAGATTTTTTGTTCTGGTGACAAAGTGTGCAAGGCAATTCGGACATTATGAACAGCAAGCTTAGGCTAAGGATTTATAGAAGACTAAGAGTTGCAGGGCAAGGATAAATATGACTTTAGCCTCAAACGGGAAGGGCATTTGTGCACTTCAGGGTGAAGAGGAAACAAATTTATGGTGCATGAATGAGTTTTTACTACACAACCACGCTAAGCTCAGGCGTAATGCACATATTTTAAATTGTAGTGACTAATTGTGACATGGTCCTAAAGCACTAGTTTTGCACTAGCTTAGCATAGCCACGACTGTGCACAATTAATGTTTCCGTCTCAAAGAACGCTGCTGCAAAAGTCTGACAAAGAGAAATAATTTGGATGGAGACAGGACAAAATATGGGCAGATTAGGTAGAGAGCCAACATAAAGAAAAGGTTCAAAATCGGACAGGTCAAACAGAAGTTTCCACTTCATAGTTCTTGATGGAGAGAACATAGTTCTCTTAAGGAAGGGATCACAATTTTAAATCATTTTCTAAAGGAAAAAAGAATATCTTAGTTATTCTTGTAATAATTTAGTGTATTTTTCCTTCATCTGCTTTCTCAAAATTGTTTGGGAGGAAATGAAAATACCCTTCCCAATGATATCCAGTACAGAATTCTGATCCATCTTGGTTAACTTCAATGAAGTAAACAAAAATCTTACAACGGTGAGAGTCCAAGAACCTCCCCAGTTCTAACAGTCACACTTTTTTTCTTAACAAAAATCTCTAGCTGGTGAGTTTTTAATCACAGAATTATAGAATATCCACAGTTGGAAGGGATTAACAAGGATTGAGTCCAACTCCTTTATTTATCCAGTGATATCAAATCACTTGGGGTTATACAGAGACCTTCTTCAGGGCCCAGAAAAACAACCAGGATAGTAATTGCATCATTTTGAGACCAAACTTTGCACATTAACTGTGTCTCAGGAGAGCTGTGCACGGGACAGCAGTCTGCAATGTTATCCATCATATTTCTGCTCCTTTTGTGTGGGGAGATAAAACCCGGCTTTGCCAGCTCTATGTTCTTTTCCCTAAACAATGAGCTTTTCCTTGATCCTAAAGCAGAGCTTTAAGGGAATTATCTTGATATCTAACCCAATGTTTGGTTAGGATTAGGAGTTCCAAAAAGCTTGGGAAACAGAAGCCTTGATAGAAGGCTTTAATACACAGTTCTGTACATCTCTCTCCTGGTTAGAAACCAGCCCGTTTTTAGCTTAGCCCCAATTTCAAAAATTTCCCAAAAAAGTTCTCAAGTGCAGAATTACATCTACAGTGCATTTTAACACAGTGGGCTTTGTTGCTCGAGATAGTTTGAGGTGTTTTGCAGTAATCTCTTACCCACAACATGCTCCTCTTCGCTGCCCTCCGACCCAGTAGCTGCACACCCGGTGACACAGCAGAACAGCAACATAAAGGCTGAAGGTGAGGAACATCCCTTCTTCCTTCCTTTCATCTTCCCTGCATAACATACAGAAGAAAAGATACATTTCAGTCAAATTCCTTGCAAAAGTCACGAGCGGGATCGTGCTGCCCTGGGGGTGGATACACAGCCTGGGAGCTTTGGGAATAATGGGAGCTATAGAATCATATTGGAGGCACAGTGAAAAACAAGACAGGGTTCAGAGTTGTGCTCAGCAGATTGCAGGTCTCCTATCCCATCTCCAGCACGGATCAGAGGCATTGCTATTACTTTCATAAATCACCTCCTAGAATACATAATGATATAAAACGTAACACTTGGCCCTTCTATTGTCCTGATCAGTTTTACACAATGTATGGTTGGTTGTCAAGTCAAATCCTTCCAAATAAGTTTTCCTCAACCTGAAAAACTTAGAGCCACTGCCACAAACGCAGGATTCTATTTTTAACAAACGTTTAACTGATTTATAATCACACACGTTGCATTTCACAGGAGTCAGTGAACACTTTGCAACGTGGGCTTCAATGCTCTAAGAAGTATTTTGTCCCTTGTGGATCCCTTTAATATTGGGTACCTCACTTAAGTGCACAGCTGGTTTTTTTCACATCTTTATCAGTGCAACCATCCCCACAAAGAGAACACTTTGATCCCATGGCAGCTGGCACGTTCAGGTTGCCAGAGATGAGGTGATTCATGCACTTATGAAATTATCTCTGGAAAACTTTGGCTTTAACTTTTTTAGAAATACAGATTTTCCAACTAACTGAAAGTAGTTCCTTAAGGATCTCAGAATCCTAATTAGAGGATAAGCTAAATACCTTCTCTGCTCCCAACAGATGGATTTCCTGTAGATATCCTCTTCCCTTAAAGTATAATACTACATTTTTTTTTGCTAATTAATATTAAGTTAGTAAAAACTAAAGCTCTAAGAAATGGGAAGCTCCTTACATTCAGACACTGTTCAGTGTTTAAGTTTACATGTCTGTGAAGACAGCAAATCTTCACCAATGAAAGCAAGAATTTTCATTTGTCTCTAGGAAACTTACCCATTTTTCCCTCTCAGACACTTAATGGTCTCCCAGCTTGCAGCATATGTAGGAGAAAAGAAATGCATTCTTAAAAATAACTCTTGGTGAAATTACAGACCAGACCATGAGTGACATTAATTATTTGGATAATTTTTTAAACTGACACTTCCCTTCAGAAGGCTTCAGTACATCATGTGGTGAAATACACTGAGAGAGGTCTTCATTCTTTTTTTTCCCTTTTTTTTTTTTTTTTTTTTTTTGTAAAGGAACAGAATTTTGGGATCAATAGAATTTCTCTTTTAGCCAGAAAATACGACAGTGTTAACTTCATCATAATCTTTTCCTGTCAAAATCAACGAAAGAATGTGTGTCTTTCATTCCTTCTAAGCTCAATTATTAAGCTTAATTTCTACATGAACAAATAAAATGCTTCATTTCAGAAACATACAGTTTCTGAAATATTATATAAACAGAAAATATGTGCAAGTGCCACGATTACTCATTTTCAGCTATTAAGCAAATAAATAGAAGTAGCATCTTTATTCATGATTCTAACCAGAAATTCAGTTTTAAGCTCCTTTACATGCAAAGCTTTGTGGTACACGACTTTGGAAGAATTTTCCATTTTTATCCAAGGGTTAGAGAAAACCTTCCAGCAAATCTTTTTATTCACTGCTGATAAAAGGTCCAGTCATACTTTAAAGAGAAAGTAACTGTACAAGGTAACCTGAAGTTATCTAAGACTGTCTTTATGATTTGAGAGATTTCTGAGTTGTGAAGTTAGTTTGACATCAACTAAAATAAAAATAAAATTAAATCCGCAAGTAAGAAAAATGTTATGGGGAGAAATACTACGTAAAAAATTTCTAACTAAAATGCACAAGTACTTAGAATTACAATGTAAATAAAGGTGGTGATAGTTTGACATCATCTAGGCTCAATGAAAACAGAAATATCATCAAATTCTCAGGTTTAATGCTTAGATATACAGTAATAACTTCCAAACTTTGTGTGGCTCCTGTGAGTTCACTGGAATAAAAAAATTATCAAATACGCTTTGAGTTTTAGTGTTTGAAATGACATGGGAAAGGGCAATTTTCTAGCACGTTGTTTTCCTTAGAAGTAATCACTGACACAATTGTGGCACTTCATAAAGAAACTTGTAAATTATCCACAACCTCAACTGCCCATGGATTAATTCCAAGTTTGTCCCTTTTGGGCTCTCATTGAGTTTTTCCAAACACGGCATCAAAACTCTCACTATTTCAGCAAAATTCGATTTGAATTTGGTTTTTTTATTACTCAAATCGAGGCTTTGGTTCTTTCTTCTGGGAATCTCCAGAATGTAGATTTAGATTGCAAAATTTAGGAATCAGTTTTTAGTCCATCTTCCCATAATCTCAAAAGCTGGTTCCCAGGCAGAAGAAAAAAAAAATAAATCAATCAGCCAGAAATGGAAATCCTCAATAAGTTCCTATTTTTTTAATTTAAAAGTAGAATTTTGCACATCATGAGTTGCCATATATAATTGTCCCCGTGTGATTACGAGGATAAATTACTGCATTTGGACAGAAACCAAAAACCTTCCAAGGGTTTTTGCCTTGTCAAAAGCAGGGCATATCCTGGTGTTTGGGCAAGTTCCAAGGGGAAAAATGTGGGCTGTACAACTGCATACCTGCCTCCCTGCAAAGTCTGCTGACCAAACCCCATCTCCTTTATCTTTTTTCTAACCTTCCCAGAAGGTCAAACATTCCCAGGACATTGTGTCAGGTGTGGGTGGAGGTGGGATGAGTGGGGTAAAGGTTTGGGGAATAAAACTTAAATCCTTCTGTAGTTTAATTCTTTCTTATGATTCCTACAGGAAGATTTAAAATCCAAGATCAAAGTGAATTTGGCATTGCTTTTTCAATTAAAAACCTAAATCCTCTAGAAAAAAAAAAAAAAAACCAACAGGTTTTCTGCCTGGATGTTCAGCTGCCCTGTAACAGAACTTTAAAGCTGTAAACCTCTTATGATATTGATATAACTTTCCTTTTTAAGGCATTCTGGTTTTTTCATTGTATTTATATGGAAAGCACAATTCAAATACTTCATCTACAATATGTGGTGGAGTAAAATATCAGGAGCACACATCTGTGAAGGGAAACTTTTCAAGTTCAAATAGTTCATGTTAAATGATTATTTGAGCCAAATTCTGAAGATTCTGAGAGTAAATAGCAGCCCCTTCCTCCAGAAGGGTTCTAGCTCAGGATAGTCAGGAATCAGTCCAGTTTTAACACTAGCTTTTCTCTACACCATAGTGTCATTAATGCATATTTCATGAAGACAATTCCTTAAGAACTGGCACTCCACTGCTCCCAAACCACCTCCCTTTTAATGAGGAATTTCATATCTGTAATGGACAACGACGTTACTTGACAAAGGAGGTCAACAAAGGTAATAATTGGCCCCAATTTTCTTCCTGATTTAATTAAGTACTGTTATTTCTAAATCATACAACTGGCTTCCCTCAGGCTGAAATATAGGTAGACCAGGCAGACCATAAGCAATCAAGGAACCTCCCAGAAACAGATCCTTATTACCTGGTCTTATAACGAGGACTTTTTTATCCTGACACTTAAACATGGAAATAAAAGGAAGCTCTCAAGAGTTTTTTTTGCTGAAGGCAGAAAAGTACAAAACTTGGTGTCTTCTCCATGCAGTTTGGAGACAGACTTTTTATGTGTGTATGTATATATATACATATGTACATATTATTTTTTTTACCTAGTAGTCTTTTCAACACCAATTTCTATAGTTACCTGACTGCTTAGATGCAAACAATTTTTTCAGTGTCATTTATCTCTAACTGGTTCACTGGAAAAAGCAAAACAAAAGCCAGCATTTCCCGCAGTGGCCAAAAAAAGATATTCCTAGAAAATGGCATAAAGTGACACTGTAATGTCTGTAAAAGTGACTCATTCACGCTGACAGTCCAGGAAGTGGAAAGACAGACACACACACAAAAATTTAAAATAAAAAAAAAGGAAAAGAAAAAAAAAAAAAGAAAAAGTAAAGTATATAATTGAATAAAGGAATTAATAGCAGGAGATAGGATGTGCATAGTGAGAGATCGAATTTAGCACAGCCTAAAACTAAGGATTAAAAGGTCTAATTAGACAGGATTATGACACTTCTGATATAAAAGCAGACTTTTTTCAGCCCACTATGCTTCAGAGGCATTATATTTGCCCTATGATACTTTGTACTATCTACTAGGACTTGTGTGACAGATTTAATTAGACCTATCTACAGCATTGTCTCCCAGCTGGCAGAGTCAGCCTGTTCCCTTGAACAGGGTTTTATTCCTGTTTTGCAATGTCATGTTTTTCATTTCCCCTGCAGTAAATATGAAGAATGAATCGAGCACGAATTCCATCCCCTCTGCTCTGATGTGAAGGGAGCAGAGAATGATGACACCTGCCCCAGCTTTACAAGTCCCAGAGTCAGGGCTGGGCTGTCAATTAAACTGATTTCCACCAGGAAGGATTTCCACCACTGGAGCCCTGCACTATCACAGCAACTCAAGAACTTGGATTCATCCAAGAACTTCAAATTTGCTTCTTGTTATGAAAGATAATGTTGGTTGCTTACCTACCTTTCATCAAGGAAGCATAAATGCTTTCATCAAGTAACATAAATGCTTTGCTGCTGCTGCTGCACTATTCCAGCCTCTTAAATTCCCAAGTGAAAACCGGGAAGTAAAGGGAAAATTTAAAAAAACAGATTTCTTCATTGGATTTTATGCTGAAAAGTTGTATGACCTGGTGTCACTCTTTCAGATTTAAACTCCCACTTTGGTCCTGCTTTTATTAAAGTTGAAAATGCTGCTTTTCAACCACAGCTGACAAATGAATTGAAAAGGAAACCTTGTTATGTTTTGAAATGAAAACGAAAATAAATAAATTCATAAGCCTACCATAAGAGTTTCCTTCTTTTTTTCACATGCCTTTAGACCTCTCTTGCCTTTTCATTCTCCTTTGTCAACTCCTTTCACTCACGTTTTTAAAGTATTTTCCCAGCTTAGCTCCAGAACCTATTTAATCCCTTCTCGTAGTCAGCTCACACCTGGCACCAGGTACTTTTGCCATCCTGTCTCCACCCCACTTCTCTCGTGACACAAGTCCAGGCCTTCATTTCTTTCTCCCTTGAGTTCTCCTTTACTCACCTGGCTCACTCAGGCCTCCCATCCACGATATCCATCACCCAAGACCTGGGAAGTGGATATATTCTGGGAGGCAGAGCTATAGTGAGATTATACCTTGGCAACAGAAGCCTGAGAGCAGTTTTCCTGACTCCCTGATCGTGATGCAACAGCCCCAGTGAATTATAAACTCTGAAATTAAGACTGATCTATTAAATAGCTTCACTTTTCACAGGAACACTGGATTTGTCCGAGGCAAATCCCATAACTAGCCCGTTTTCATTGGGATACACCTTTCAGTGGGGAAAAGAAGTATTTTGCTCCTGCCAAAATATCTTTGCGTGTGTACTAAAGCAAACTGCTGGGTTACATAATTTCGTAAATCTTGAAAAACGAAACGGCAAAACCATCACACTCAAACCTGTACCTGTTTGTAGCAAAGATACTGGTCACCTAATCCTATTTTCAAACAGGGAATGCCTTCAGCAGCCTAATAGCCCCTCCCAGAGCATAAAATCCACTAACAAAACAAACAAGCAGCAATATTAGTTACATATTAGCTTTATGAATTCTCTAGCCTGTTTGTTTGTCTTTTTTTTCCTAGCAGTTTGAACTGGAAGACTACTGTATATGTTCAAATCTCAGCTGTGCTTATTGATAAATAGACATGTTTTTAGAGGTCAATTATCTTACCATGATAGATAATGAAGAGAGTAATTTCAGTGTTGTATATTTGTTAACCCAGCTGAGTGTAATTTCCCATTGCTCACACAATAGAAATACTATTCCCCTTTCACTGAAGTGAAGCTGTCAGATATTGAAAATATAACAGGCAGGCACAGGAAGAAGCCACCAGCCACATCCTGTGACTGATTTTGGCCATACCCATTGACCTTTTGTAACTTCATCATCACAGAGATCACATTTTGCACACATACTAAAGTCCAAACTACAAGTTTCCTTGCTCTGTCAAGCAAGTTGAGCTCATTTTGTCTCTCTTTCCAGCTGGAGATGCCGCAGACACTTTTACTGCCATGGATGAGCTTTGGATCCTCCCACAGGTTAGAAATGCTGAAAATGCCTTCCATGGTAACACCCCCACAATCAGACTGCCCTAGATGTCACCCCACAGTCACTTAAAACCAACATAAAACAACACTGCCATAGAAAAGAAGGGTCATATTCCCTTCCTCTCCCACCACAGTACAGATCAGGTGGTTTATTTTGGTGGCAGTGCCAGCTTCTGTGGACTTAGAGCGTTCATCCAATGACTCTCACAGCACAGAAAATATCAGCCTCATCTTTCCACACTGACTTTTTTCTCTGACTGATGAAAGCAAAATCATTGTCCAAGACTTCATTATGTTAGAGACTCTACAAATACAAAGGGAAAAGATTGCTTCTCAAAGCAGAAAATGTTTACGGAATATGCCGGGACACTTCAGCAGACTTTTCTTGGAGTTCATAAAACCAGTACCAACTATTTCCTTTATGTAATATTTGTATTTCTAACTGGCTTGCTGCAGTTGGTCTTTTCAGGATAGTTATTTTAAAACTGGTTCTTTTGGAATGTTCTATTTTCTGAAGGAAGGTTTTACTTTCTTGTGTTCAATCCATAGCCCGGGGCAATGCACCCGAATGCCCAGTTCTAATTTTTCACTACACAGTAAATCGAATTACCCAGCTAATTTCAGAGGTATACTCAGGTAGGAAAGTCACACGTCAGCAAGGAGGGCAACAGTATTAAAGAAGGCCAATGAACAGCTGTATTAACAGCCAGAGGAAATAACTAAGAAATCAAACAAAGGAGTTGTGAGAGAAAATTTAAAGGACTGAAACCAAGTCTATTTTGCTGTTAAACAACTATGAGAGGAAAGGAATTACACAATTCCCCATATGGTTTTGCTTCATTCTGTCCCCAGGGGAACTCTGTCCCTATTGTAAAGCTAAACCAGTTTCATAAGAGGAACATACAGAAGAAGGTATTTTATCCCTGTTTTTAAGTCAGTTCTCCCTAGTTTCAGTGTAAAGAAAAGCTTTAGATATGAAGATGCCATCAGCCTCTCCTAGTTCTTAGAGAGAAAATAGGATTGTTCACAACGTAGCCCAAACAAAGGACAGTAGTAAGTACTAGAATTTGACAGATTTTAAACACTTTGCTCCAAAACTGTTGGATGTGAGAGTCATGTAATTCTCTAGTTCTACTGGTTTCTTTTTTTTAATTTAAATTTTTTTTGTTCCTCCTATGCATATGCTCTCAGTCTCTCTGGCAGATGTTCTCAGAAAGTACTGAATGGCCATCAACAAAATCACGGCAGTCACAAAGCACTGCCAGCAGTCACCAGTTTATTTTAAAATGCAAAAGAAAATCATTGCCAGAATCACCCTTTTAAAGTAAATCAAGATGTTACAGCATCTTCCCAGAATGTGAGAGATGTTGTCAATAACTTTTTTTTTCAGTGGTGATTTAATATTCATGTTTCCAGAAACAATCCTAATCCCACTGATATACCAGTGAGAGCAATCTATGTTTTCTGCCCTAAAAGTAATCCAGGACCCACAGAATCAGAATAGCATAAAAGATATCAGTTTTCCTGAACTGGAGAACACCTGGGTGCTCCTGTCTGCTCCTGTTCATGCACTCAGCTTGGAAGGGTTGAGACACACAGAAACAGTCCCTGAAGCCAGAACTGGAGTCCAGTAATTCTCCTTCTCTAATGGGGTCTGGTCTAGCTGGACATGGGATTTCAGACTCACCAAAGGCTCTGGGCATGGTCACTGAAAGCCTGAGAGGAAGCTTGTTCTTCTACACCTTTGCTTGGTTTCCTAGACCACTTTGTCTCCAATCTCTTAAAATTTCCTCTTTGACAGAAAATCTGCCTCGTTTTTAACACTGTCTCTCACTGCCCTTTACCTCTGACACTGAAACCCTAAAAATAGATACCAAAGATTTATGAGTTTTTATCATTAAGCTTTCAAAATTACTCTGCAGTGAGATTAAGGAAAACTCAATGGCATTAATTGTTCTATCTGTCCTGAGTCAATAACATAAAACTGTAATTTACAGTTATTCTGCATTTAGAATATTAACTAGGTGAGTAACAATCGAGTGTTCATGAGCAATATTAGTAAATGTGGGCACTGCACTAAAAGGATAAATGCACTTTAAAGGTCATGGAACTGCAGCAGACAAATGCATTAAAACTCAAAATTACAAACTATGAAATCCACAATGTAAGGATGAACATAAAGGATACTGAAAGTCGATTTAAAACACACTTGGAGACTCGCCAGCATAAAAGTCACAAAATTTTCAAATAAATGGATTTATCAAGCAGTTGTTCACATGGCTGCTTTTTAATTAACCCTTTCAACATAGGACATTATTTGACAGGAGAAAAGGCCAGAGCAGGATGTGTTTTAATCATCTTGACCTCCTCAGCATGGTTCTGTGTACATTACACACAAAGGAAACTTGATTGTAACTCTCAAATTCAGCTTAAAGAATAATGTAGAGGAATTTATTGTGGATATAGATACTTGCTGCCTTCCCTGACAGTCATAAACTCCCTCCTAGCAGAATTAAATGGTGAGCAGAAGGTTACAAAGAGGAAAGGCTAACAGTTTTTCCCAAGTAGGTGCCTGGCAATTCCTCCAGCACGCCTTTGCTGTCCCTATCTGTACTGACAGCTGCACTTCCTGCCTCTGCCTCTATCCATAAGACATTCAGGAAGGAAGGTTTGTATCTTTACATGTTTCCCATGAAAGGACTTTGGTGACTAATGCCTGGAGTACTGAGTCACACTGACCGTTCCCATCCACGCTCCCCCATCCAAATTGTTATTGTTCTCCCTGCTCCACTTTTCCCACTATCACAGGCCTTTTCCTCATTTAAATTGTATTTATAGCTTCTAAAATATCAGCAAAGTTTAGCAATATTTTTATTTTAAATGTGGGTATCACTGTTTTGCTTTACACAGTTCCTAGAAATGAAGTCTATGTCACTTCTGCCAAGTAAAATATTACAAAAGTCACCAACAATATTCTTTTGGGGGGTGGGGGGTGGTGTGTTTGTTACACTGACACCACTGTAAGACTCATTTACTACCCTCGTTGTTTAAGGGCTTTTAGTTTCTTGAGAATTCCAATATACATTGTGAGTGAAATTGGCTTATGTGTCATCAGCTTAATTTGATTCTCCTAAAATGTTCTTGTACTTCTCCTAAAATATTAATTGCTTCAGATGTTATGTGCCCTACAAGGATTTGAAACAGCCTGACAGACCACCCTGCTGAATCAAGCCTCCCTTAAAGCTACTGCAGTGGAGAAATTGCTTTAGAAAAACAAGAGTTTTTCTTCAAACTCGAGCTATTGATCAGAGTTAACTTATTCACCTTTAGGAGAGCTTCCTTTAAAAGAACTCTCTTGGAGCTCAAAATACCCTAGTCTGAGATTCTGGCAACCAAATACTAGTTGTATTATTAATCATAAAAGTTATTCATTGTCCTACTGTTTCAAATTTACAGAGGGAAAAAAAAAGCCTCCCCTTTTGCAGCACTCACTGCTGGACTTTGAATCTAGACATCTGATTCCTGAATCTACCACATTCTAAAGAAAACACACCAGCAGATACTGCTTTCTGCCGGCTAAAGAAGAAAAGGATAACTCATTTAAAACCGAAAGTCTCTCACAAAGTACTCACCCAACTCCTAGCAACAGTTCTTGAAGAAAGAAGGAATTCCCGAATCAGAGCTGAATATGACCCTCCCCTACTAATTCACGCCGAAGGGGTGTGGTGTAAAGCTACAAAGGCAGGATTGCAACCTGATCTTCCTAGAGCGGGGATCGCTGGGCTCGGGGCTGTTCTGGCTTTTCGCGGAGCACATGGGCTCGCTCTGGGTGAAAGTCAGAGATCTGCTGCAGCGGCAGGAACGCTTCCTGTGTAAAAGTTTTCTCGTTTGCCTGGAGTTCAGAGCAACTGTGTTCTAAACAGCGCCAGCTAAAACGGGCTGCACCTTTAAAGAATAGAGTTGTGCAGGATAATCTGTGCATTTGTGCCTTGCGGGCTCTGATAGGGCTCACGAGGATGGCGTATTCATTGTCTACTTAGAGAGATACAGGGCAGTGCACTGTTGTTTTTCATCTGTTTGCTTTTTAAACGAAGCCTTGGTATTTACTCTGCATCCATCGCAGTGTTTGGAGCTGCTGTGCCTCCAGCTAGAACATACCATCTATTTACAAATCACATTGTTACGTGCTAAAACTAACCTTTAGTGTCAGTAAGAGTACTGTGGCTGAAGATAGGGATGGAGACTCCAGACACCCTCTCTGAGACCTTATAACTTGTAGATGCAATTCCAGATGTCCAGAGTCTTAGTCTTAGAAACAAGGGATGAGAATTTCCAAGGTAATGGATTAAGCAGTAACAGAGACAGAAATAACAGCTGAAGAACAATAACTTACACAGTCAGTAGCTGTAACTCATTGCAATTACTTTTTAGGCAAAGACCAACAGGTAGTTAAATCACTATCATTGAATATTTATCTGTTCATCACCATCCTGGAACGGACTGGAAGTCTCTCATGTTCAGTTAACGGGTTATAACAACCTTCTGACACAAACAGAAGTGCTCATGGCAACTCCTTAGATCTCATGTCTTGTTCTGACTGTCAAAATGTCTGTAATACTTGTCAGGGCAAAGCCAGTGGTCAGCTGAGTCTACTGACTCCTAACTGGGTCAATAATCAAATGGATTAACTGCCCTCAAATGGACTAGAAGAACTCCCAAAGCAAAGGGGCAGTTCGAATGCTGGGGGTGAGGTTCTGCTATACAGTTACTAATTAGCAACTCAGATAAAGCGAGAGGCAACCCAGCTCAGGAGGTCAGGGAAATGGAAATGCTCAGGCTGTCATTTGTGTGACACCAAGACTCTGACAAACATTGTGGGCCCACATGTTGAGAATTGGTGTCTCTCCGAGGGTCACAAGACAGACAGTCCAAAACAGATGCATGAAAATTACACCATGGTTTAAAGAAAGGTCAGTCTGTACATTTACAATAGACACCAAAACCACCAGATTTCAAAAGAATTACACACTTCTTCACTATGATTTTCTTGGAATGCAGCTGTGTGGATGAACATGTATCCCTGTGGATAGTTTCAAACTCGCTCTACTCTACAAGTCATTTACAAATGAGCTGCCTTGGTTTTAGTCCTACTGGATGCTGAATGGTCTGAATTACAAGTCCATGTATATATATTCCAAATCGAGGGACTGGACCTGGTCATAACCTGAAGGGAGATTTTTTGGTTTCAATGAGAAATATTTTTTTTTTAAACGAATAGACAAGAAAGAATTTTCATGGTTTGCGTCACAACGTGTTAGCATCAGTCCATCTTTTCTCACAAGATCTTGCTCAAGTCACTCAGATTTGGTGTGCAAAATAATAAAGTAGTTCTGAAAGGAATAGTCCACAGAGATATGGAAAAAAAAAAAGCTACAGTTCAAAATATATTTCTCATCTTATGGTCAAATAAGTTGAGAATCACGTCTAAAGAAATGTACTTTGGGGAACACGTAAAAGAATGAAACCCTTATTTTGATTAAAAGTTAGACTAAGAGATCTTTAGTAAATAATAAAACCATATGATAGTAAAAAAGCATGATGAACACATATTCAAAAGAAAATTTCAAAGGAAACTTTCATTTTCAGATTAGTAATTTTGCTTTCTACTCTATTGTCTCTTCAGTTCCCACGTGCAGCCCTCCTAATTTAGTTGTCAGAAGGGTCTCTGGACTCCTTTGCATTATAAATACAACAGAAAGGGCTTCAGCTGAGACTGAAATCAGACTTGGAAGATGGAAAGGACACTCTTTGGAACCTTTAGTAGGATCAAAGAATTCCATTCAGCCATGACCTGGCCTAGACGATCACGCCAACCTCTGGCCTGCCCTGGAACCTGCTGATAGCTTAAGACAGTTGTCAACAGTTAAATGTTCACAGTGGAAAAAGTCCCTACAGTCCTGAAATAACAGGTTTTGTTCCTTTCTAGAAGGGGCTTTTGAGACGAGCAGGTGAAATCTGTGAGTTCTAAAACTAGCCAATGAGAAACACTTTTCTAGGGTCCTGTGGGAATCTAGAAACCTCTCAAAAGGTGTAGCTTGCAAATCACAAAACTCACCAACCTGGTTTTTCCTTAAGAGATCATCTAGTTGTCGTTTGTTCCTGTTCTGAAGAACCCAAGAATCCTTACTTCAGGGATTTCCAGCCTTTGAGTATGTGACATTATCATTACATTCTCTCTTCATGTTTGTTTATATCCCGTACTACAGGAATCACTTACCCACACAAAGATTACAATTCAGAACTTTAACATTTCACATTAATTCTGAGATCCACCCAGAGAGCCAAGCTCTGGCCAGTTATACAATAGTAGGAACTGCAACACTGTTGGATGAGTGTGAGGAAGGACCACTTACAGCACGTAGATCAGCAGGCCAGCTACCAAATTCCCCTTGGATTTCATGGATTACACTGCCATGCAGCAGGAGCAGTGCAAGCCTGATATTCCAGCCCCCTTTACAAGCTGCTTTCTGCTGGCCTATTTTGAAGTGACTCAGATTGGATAGTCAAAGGAAAGCACAGAGAGCATTTAAATTATTCCTCTTCCACAGATAGAATAGCTTTACTCGGGGATTACAGCCCCAGAACATCACAGACAGAAAAGGCAGAAAAGTGGGGCAGAAAAGGCCCACCAGGAAGGTCTGAAAGACAGAAGACAAGACCAGAGCTACTGAATACATTCCAGATCATTCCTATCACTGGGAATTCCGTAAAGAACTTTTACATGGTACACAGCTCCATTTTTTCATGACTGCTATTCCTCACTATGTATCTACAAGCAGATATATGCAAAAGTACGGATAAATTCAATTGAAACAGAGATGCCATGAAAAAAAATCACTTGTACAATTCTTGCAGTACTCAGTACTTGGCTCTGAAGAGTTCAAAGCTGAGACAATTAGATTTTAGCCTTCTGACAGTACGTGGAATTCTTACCCACAAACTGAGAGATCAGGGAATTAAAATCAAAAAAAAAAGAGGGAAGCTTTATGTGAGAGGTCAGCATGATTGACACTGACTGAAAAGGCACACCACCAGTTACCATCTGACCACAGGAAAAATGCTTCTTCTCCATGTTGTCAGCTGGCAGCTCTCACTGTGAATCTGCTTCTGGCGACAGCTCCACTTTTTCCCCACAGCAAAAACAGAAGGGAATGTGCCATCCCAGAAAAGCCCCTCACTTGGAGCTCTGTCTTGAGTACTGGCCTGCAGAAGGTAGGCAAGGATAGCAACAGTAAAAGTCTTAGTGTCTGAAGAATGCTTACAACCCACAGGTTAAAAACAACTGACTCTTCTCTGAGTCACTCCAGTGACTTCAGGTCAGATACTCCACCCTCCTCCCTCCATCATCTGTCATAGTGCTGCACAGCCTGTGTTTCCACCACTGGCTTTACACTGGGAGCACAGCTAGTGCCAGCAAGACATCAGGAAAATGGAAGATAAGAGCTGATAACTAACCTGGTGTCTTCAGAGTCACTGTCTTCTGGAATGTTCGTCATCCCTTTGGGTTGCTGCTCGTGTTGACTGAGAGGGATGGAGGAAAAGACAGCGAACTTCAAATTCAAATTTTTCTATGCTGTTCATCTTTATTTTTATGAAGTGGATGGGGTTTAGCAGAATATGTTATATTTCACCACAGTGCTAAACACCTGGTGCTCAGAAATTAAAATGATGCACAAATGCCCAATCTTGTTACTGTACCAGAACAGAGAGAAGGCAACACAAAATTATACGTTAAGTTTTATGTGTACATATATAAAATACAATTACTTTTTAAGCTCTATCGTTCCTGAAGCAGGATTTACTACATCACACAGTTGAAAAAGCACAAAAGTTTTTTCTTCACAAAGGCCTCTCTCTCTCAGTGAGGGTGTGACATTGCTCGGGCTTTAACACCGCAAACGTCTGTGAAGTTTTGTTGCCCTCTAGTGATGCTTAAAGCTCCTTTTAATACGACTTCTACAAACGGCTTTCTTACTGTTTCCTACCTGTTGCCTTATTTTTGTTGTGCTTTTTATAACATTTAATATTTAAATCCCAACTAAAACACACGAATGGAAGTGAAAAAGTGAAGGACCTTCCCCAGTGAAAGAAAGATCAGAACCCAGCAGCTGGCACTTGGAAACCTGTCTCTATAACACACACCTCTGTCCCTCCTTGTTGTTCTTCCTTCCTGTAACTTCATGTTCTCATTTAAAAACCGTGGCTATGTCAAGTGTTTTCTAAAGACTGAAATGGAAACGATTGAAGAGGGTGACTGTTGTTGCTGAAAGCAGAATGCTGAGATAGCACAGTGAGGAAAATAAAAATACAGGCTTTGTTTCTGCCCTCACTTCAAAGGTAGTAATACCTTTGAGTAATAGAGTAAAGTAGAATATTACTGAAGCTGACTGTTGGAAATGTAGGAACATTTTTAAAAGGGGGAGAGAATATTCAAGCCCCTCAGGCATCTGCCTTTCTGATTTGCCCAGTTGCCTTATGCTGAGCAACCAGTTCTCTCGAAGTGAAACTTCTGTTTTGCTTAGCAGAAGTACACAGGTTCTGCAGTCAGCTGATGCTGCTGTTCTTGTTCCTGAAACAAGCTGAGATTCTGAAATTTTCCTTCCATCAAAACCAAGACTTAAAAAAAAAAAAAAAAAGAAAATGGAGCCTTCCTTATATTTTAAAAATTATTCTTTTCTTTGAGTAGAACACTTTATCAGATATTCTCCATCCTATAGAAACCCAGT